GCTGGAAGAACCACTGGAACATTATTATTATTATTATTAAGACACTTATAGAGCGCCATCTTTCACAATATGTGCTCAGAACATCTACTATCAACTCGAGTAACCTCGTGAACCATGGTTGGCTTGACCATATTGGTGCTACAATTTTACACTTCGCCTTGTCTTGACGAATCTTCTGAACACAGCGGTTCAATAAACTGAAAGGAGGATTCAAATAACAATAAAAATCATGCCATGAAAAAGTAAAAGCATTTATATTAGATGCATCTGGATCTGGTTTCCAGGAACAAAAAGTTTTAATCCGACAGTTAAGCCTTGTAGCAAATAAATCAATGTCCGGTAAACCCCATAAACTAGAAATCTTACAGAAAATATCTGAATTTAACATCCATTCAGTTTGGTCATCGAATTTCCTGGAAGCAATATCTGCTACATTAGATTTTCCAGGAATATGACTTGCAGAAAGCCAAACATTATTTTCAATGCACCACTGCCAGAGTTGTTTCGCAAGCATATCACAACGTACAGAATTAATACCTCCCATATTGTTTATATCAGCAACAGCAGACGTATTATCTGATAGTATTTTCACATGTTTACCATGAAATTTATTGTCAATATTAAAAGATTTCAAACCATGAAATCCAGCAAGTAATTCAAGATAATTAATATGAAATTCTGATTCTAAAGAATTCTATCTACCACCTATTTTATAATCGTCACTCACAGCACCCCAACCTAACAGAGATGCATCAGTGGTAACAGTGAAATGAATGTACCCATGGGAGATAACTCTATATTGACTGTCTAAATTAATGAGCCACCATTGAATTTCAGATTTCATATCTTCTGAGATAACCATAGTTGCATCAAAATTGAAGCCTGAACATTTTAAGGCCCTATCTTTATTTCTCTCTAATTCTCTATAATGCAATGGCACATATTGAACTGCTGAAAACGAAGCAACAAATGAGCCAATAACCTTAGCAACATCCCTAATCTTTGCCTTAGAATATTTAAAAATCTGACTACAGGCTAGTATAATACGGGATTTCTTCTCCTCTGTTAGAGTAACTGTCATTGTATGGGAATTAATAACATTTCCTAAGAAAACTATTTCTTTGGATGGTTTGAGGACAGATTTTTCATAATTAACTGTAAACCCTAGACTCTCCACAAATGCAATAGTCTCAGAAATATTATTCTGACACTCTTCAACTGTATCCCCTAGTAATAGAGAATCATCAATGCAGGCAGTGTTGATGAAACCAAGACGACGAAGAGTTGAGAACACAGGTTTTAATAACTTTGTGAACACTCGAGGCGCACTAGCTAACCCTTGAGCCATGCAAGTGTACATATACAATTTATCCTTCCACATAAATCTAAGGAACTTTCTATGTTCTTTGGCAATAGATATTGAATAATATGCATTGGAGAAACCAATACTTCCGAAAAAACAATCTTGAGTTACTAAATTAACTGCAGTTTCGAAATTATCCATTTTAAAATGGTGATAAACAATAAATTTATTTAATTCTTTCAAGTTGAGAATCATACGAAATTTATCATTTGGTTTAGGCCTAACAAAAATTGTAGACACAAAGCCATCAAGCGAAAATTGGACTTTCTGTAACACATTCATATCCAGAAGATTTTTAACCTCATTAGTGATTACAGCTGAATGCTGCTCACTGAAAATAGGTTGATATGGCAAATTATATTGAGTAGGGATAAGCCCATCAACAAACTCTAAATGGCAATAACAATATCTAAAATTGTATAATCTAAAGTTAAGTCGACCTTGACCACTCTTCTGGAAGTTTTTTTGAGTCCGAACCATATGAACCATAGAAACCTCCAGAGCTACGTCCTCGATAATGACCTCTAAAAAATCTTCCTCTAAATCCTCTACCACGGATAGACCTTCCTCGTCCTCCGCGACCTTGAAAAGCACCAATCTTGTTACTTATACGAGAGCAATCAGATATATCCTTGGCAGTTTTGGAAACATCATCACCAAACAGACTGTCTGTGTATTTCAAATTTTGACTACATAGATGTAAATACTCGCCCCTCATATCGGGTTTCATCAAGTCTCTACGAATAAAACATAATTGTTTATTGGCATGTCCAAAAAGAGCTAGGGACTCCATTGCCTGTTCCAGAACATGATTCACATCCATAGATTGTCCACTACCAAGAGTGTCAGTAATTTTTGACAACGAAACTGCTCCTTTAATAATGGAAGTTTGAGCATTCTGTATTCGATTGGCCATCGTACGTGTAAAAGATAGCTCCATATCAGATGACATTTTGGCTTTTTCCACGGTAAAACATCCAAATCATCATCACAATACTCTTCATCATTGTAGCCTAATAATTTATTTCCATCACAATCGTCATAATTGTCATTATTGTAAAGTTCATCAACTTTACTAGATAATTTATCGAAACGAGAGTTCTGAGCAGTTTGATTTTCCTGAATAGCTTTCAGAATCGACATAACGTCACTATTACTAGGCTCGACTGACGGCCCATCTTTCGATTTTGATGATGAAGCAAAATATTTGATTTAAACACACTCGTCGAGCTGTTATTATTGTTACCGGTACTACAACCAGGTAAAGAATTAGTGGTATTATCAATCTGTTTCGGAGAATCGGAATTCAAACCTTTCTTTCTTCCACCTTTAGTTGATGAACCAGTAACCGAGCTTCTAGACGGCCTTAGTTTTTCTTTCAATAGTTCCCGAGAAACTTGAATCTCAGCCATAGTTACGATGTAAACAAGTCAAGCACAGCGTGTGCAAAACTAAAATGGCGGATAAACTCCAATCCAAAACGTCCTGTGTAATAACAATCGTAACAACGATAAAGTAACTAACAACGTCAGCAACACATACACTGGTAAATTAATTTAAATTAATTTAAAGTTTATTGATCGCGTCAATAAATTACCAGGAAAAATACTGAAAGTCAACAAGACCACGTCCTGTCATTTCGGCTAATAGCAGTACGGTGAACTTGTACGGCTGCGCAGTCCTATTCACATAATCTCGTAAGTGAGACTTTACGAGAAATAATTGGGGTGGAACTTCAAAGTCGATTAAATACTGAAAGTCAACAAGACCACGTCCTGTCATTTCGGCTAATAGCAGTACGGTGAACTTGTACGGCTGCGCAGTCCTATTCACATAATCTCGTAAGTGAGACTTTACGAGAAATAATTGGGGTGGAACTTCAAAGTCGATTTTCCCGAAAGATTTCAAAAAATCCGAATTTCTGTTTTCGACTGAAATAGATAGAAGACATGTTAAACTTCCGTTTGCAACAAAAATTTTACCTCTGTGGTCAAAATTGGCGAAGTTATGGCTATTTTATTTTAGTGAGGGTGAGGGGGTGGGGTCGGCGGTCCGCCTATAGGGTCTCATTGCACTGGTTTGGGTGAAGGCCAAAACTTTCAAACATTGTACCTCTCGGGTACTTCTGTTTTCTACTGAAATAGATGGAGGAAATGATCAGCTTTCATTACAAACAAAAATTGTACCTCTCGGGTCAAAATTGGTCGAGTAATGGCCATTTTAGGTCAAGGGTGGTGTCGGCGGTCTGCCTATAGCGTCTTTCTGCACTGTATTTTCAATGGGGTGAAGACCAAAACTTTGACAGGTTGTCGTTCGAAGGCTATCAGAGCTGGAAAGTTGAAATTTGCACTGAAGGTACACACCTATTGGAAGTTGTTATGTTGCAAATTTCAAGTCTCTATCGTGAAAACTCTGCCTGTTACAGCACTTTGAAGTTCAGATTTTTTCCCTAACCAAAATATAAGCAAATTTCCCTCTTGAAAATTCGGGTGGAACTTCTAAGTCGAATTTCCCGAAAGATTTCAAAAAATCCGAATTTCTGTTTTCGACTGAAATAGATAGAAGACATGTTAAACTTCCGTTTGCAACAAAAATTATATCTCTGGGGTCAAAATTGGCGAAGTTATGGCCATTTTAGTGAGGGGGTGGGGGTCGGCGGTCCGCCTATAGGGTCTCATTGCACTGGTTTGGGTGAAGGCCAAAACTTTAACAGGCTGTCGTTCGAAAACTATCAGAGATGTAAAGTTGAAATTTGCACTGAAGGTACACACCCATCTGAAGTTGTTGTGTTCCAAATTTCAGCTTCCTATCTTAAAATCTCTGGCAGTTACAGGACTTTCAGTCTCAGACTTTTTCCTAAACCAAAATATAAGCGATTTTCCTCTGAAAATCAAGGGTACAACTTCAAAGTCGATTTTCTCCAAAGTTTGAAAAAATGTCGAACTTCTGTTTTCTACTGAAATAGATGGAGGAAATGATCAGTGTTGCAAATTTCAAGTCCCTATCATGAAAACTTTGCCTGTTACAGCACTTTGAATTTCAGATTTTTTCCCGAACCAAAATATAAGCAAATTTCCCTCTTGAAAATTCGGGTGGAACTTCTAAGTCGAATTTCCCGAAAGATTTCAAAAAATCCGAATTTCTGTTTTCGACTGAAATAGATAGAAGACATGTTAAACTTCCGTTTGCAACAAAAATTATACCTCTGGGGTCAAAATTGGCGAAGTTATGGCCATTTTAGTGAGGGGGTGGGGGTCGGCGGTCCGCCTATAGGGTCTCATTGCACTGGTTTGGGTGAAGGCCAAAACTTTAACAAGCTGTCGTTCGAAAACTATCAGAGATGTAAAGTTGAAATTTGCACTGAAGGTACACACCCATCTGAAGTTGTTGTGTTCCAAATTTCAGCTTCCTATCTTGAAATCTCTGGCAGTTACAGCACTTTCAGTCTCAGACTTTTTTCCCAAACCAAAATATAAGCGATTTTCCTCTGAAAATCAAGGGTACAACTTCAAAGTCGATTTTCTCCAAAGTTTGAAAAAATGTCGAACTTCTGTTTTCTACTGAAATAGATGGAGGAAATGATCAGCTTTCATTACAAACAAAAATTGTACCTCTCGGGTCAAAATTGGCCGAGTAATGGCCTTTTTAGTTCAAGGGTGGTGTCGGCGGTCTGCCTATAGCGTCTTTCTGCACTGTATTTTCAATGGGGTGAAGACCAAAACTTTGACAGGTTCTCGTTCGAAGGCTATTAGAGCTGGAAAGTTGAAATTTGCACTGAAGGTACACACCTATTGGAAGTTGTTATGTTGCAAATTTCAAGTCCCTATCATGAAAACTTTGCCTGTTACAGCACTTTGAATTTCAGATTTTTTCCCGAACCAAAATATAAGCAAATTTCCCTCTTGAAAATTCGGGTGGAACTTCTAAGTCGAATTTCCCGAAAGATTTCAAAAAATCCGAATTTCTGTTTTCGACTGAAATAGATAGAAGACATGTTAAACTTCCGTTTGCAACAAAAATTATACCTCTGGGGTCAAAATTGGCGAAGTTATGGCCATTTTAGTGAGGGGGTGGGGGTCGGCGGTCCGCCTATAGGGTCTCATTGCACTGGTTTGGGTGAAGGCCAAAACTGTAACAGGCTGTCCTTCGAAAACTATCAGAGATGTAAAGTTGAAATTTGCACTGAAGGTACACACCTATTGGAAGTTGTTATGTTGCAAATTTCAAGTCTCTATCGTGAAAACTCTGCCTGTTACAGCACTTTGAAGTTCAGATTTTTTCCCGAACCAAAATATAAGCAAATTTCCCTCTTGAAAATTCGGGTGGAACTTCTAAGTCGAATTTCCCGAAAGATTTCAAAAAATCCGAATTTCTGTTTTCGACTGAAATAGATATAAGACATGTTAAACTTCCGTTTGCAACAAAAATTATACCTCTGGGGTCAAAATTGGCGAAGTTATGGCCATTTTAGTGAGGGGATGGGGGTCGGCGGTCCGCCTATAGGGTCTCATTGCACTCAGTCCATTCTAGGTCAGAACATGAATAATTCTTCGTTCACTTTACATTGAGATACGTCATTAGGCCCCATCAGCTGATAAAACTTTACATAGGTTTTTTAAGCGCCCAGTAAAATGGATTATCAATGTTGGTTGTTATTTACCATAAAATATGAATGAAAATTTTACAATGAGTAACATTGTTGCTCTCCGTGTGTTTTCAGAGGTGATATACCATGGGTGTTTTAATTTTAGCCACTTTTCTAAAAGAACATTATTTGAAGATGACAGAATAATCTCATAATTCTAAATCTGACAAAGGAATAGAGCATTTTGAATTAGATTTTAATATTTGCATTTAATCAGTATATATTCAACCAATAAAATTTCAATTTTATTTTCATTCGCAGCATAAATAATTCTGAAACTAATCAAAAGTAAAAAAAAATTTTGTGACTATATTCTGATCTATGTCGGATGATTACTGACAAAACAGTAAAATGAAATGAAATAAATGGAGTTTTACGTCCTACTTTTCTGCATCTTCTGGGATAACGCCGTGCAGTGTGCAATGAGGGACATTTTACAATGACATTAGTCCAATCTTTAACGTGCACAACCTGCAGCACACGGGGCCTCGGTTTATTTTCCCACCCGAATGACTAGACGCTTTTTCCATATAAAGTTTGTGAAATTGCAAGTATTAGGATTAAAAACTTCAAACGATATGTCAAAAATAAACAAATTTATTCTGATATGTGCACTGACCATTTACCAAGACAGTTTTTTCATCGGTACAACACTCAAGTTAGTTTTTCATCGCTTTCAACACTCCTATAATTGATAATCACCTCCTGCACGTTCAACAACATTTGCACGTGGTCAATAATAATTTTGAGTGATCTGTAATCAAAATTTATAATCCAACTTTTAAGCTATACTTCTATAGAATCATTGTGCCTTATTTAGCTTATAAGTTTATTTGATATTATTTGGGGACAGTTATATCGAGTAAGTACATTGTCCGTGTTTTAAATAGTCTCCAAATACGGACTAATAACTGTGGTGTAACATCAATTTATAAAGTAGTTTTAAGACGGGCAGTATGCAAAATTTTAATTATTATTATTCATTTTGTCTAAATCTGTACATTATTTTTCCAACATCAACTAAAGAACATAGCGAGTATACACAGTGTTTACGTAAACCTTTTAATTATAGTTTTGGCGTACAAAACTTACAGACAGGTTACTTGTTACTTTTAAATCAAAACTTTCAAGTAAGGTTAGGAACACATTTTTTTGTATAATTTTATCATTTTCAGCACCTTTGAACCTTCTTTAAAAAATCAGACTGTCCCTTTAAATATAAGTAAAAGGGACACCTGCCAGACAACTCAGGGTACTACAAACAGTTAGATATTGATTGATTCATATCCAGATATTGCATATTTACAATGTATAGAAATTACAGTATCTTTGTTTGACCTTCATGCTGAAAACTAATTTTTTTTTTTTAATTTTCCCATTATTTTTATTAGAATTGGAAAAGCGGTCTCAAAATAGTACTGTAAGTCTCAGAATGTCTGTGCGTTGATAAATATAAAAGCATAAGCACACATTATGTCTTCAAAATTCGTTTTCACAGCGGACAATTTTATGAAGACATCATCAGATATCAACCAAACGTGTTATTTACGTGTTATTTAATTTGTGGATTTTGAGCTTTCGAACGGTATCAAAAAGTCAAAATGACCACAGGAAGCTTGATGAGCTGGGAAGCAAAATGATAACTATATGACTACAATCGTTTAATAATAGAATTGAAATCAAGGTGGACATGGTAGTTTAAATAACTGTTAATTTGATTGTTTGAACTTTGACCTGTTCTTCAGCACCTTTTGAACCGACCAAGCTGTTCTTGTGAAGGAGTTTTGAAATCGTGAGGTCAAGCCGAATACTTTGGCATTGGAAATTTTCTTGGGCTTAAAAGTTTGATTTAAAAAGTAAATAAGTGCTAATTAAAAGGTGTTGATGATTAAGCTTTGCATGATATTTTAGCATCGTAATTTTGTTAAAACTCTTGTAGTAGGGCTAATTAATCAACCTTCGCTTTATGATGCAGTTCCGTGATCTGTACGCTTGTCAACTTTTCATGAAAGTAACATTGATGGGCATGGGCTCGATATTTTAAGTTTTACGAGGATCTTTCCATATAACGTTGTTATAACTCTATGGACCTTTCCTTAATTGCGATTCGAAAACCATTTTCCTTCATTTACAACTTAGGACCTACAGTCATAGAATAGATGTTAATTTATTAACGTGCTACATTGACTAAAGGCCCACTAAGCTCGATTAAGGATGTGATTCTGCTTCAATTATTTAAGTACCGTAGTATGATACTCGCTCATTTCAAAATGTATGCTAGAGTAGGCCTAGACGTAACTCCTATTGCCCAGACATACTGCTAGTATGATAGCCTACCTACTCCATTAAAGGGACAGATTCTATTTGACCAATTATACTTTGGTCTCAGAAACGGGAATTTTTTAACCAAGTCAATCAGTAATAGCCTAGTGTTCAAACCTTCGAAATTTGAGCCTTCAAATCCATGTCCAGAATAATCCGTGTTTGAATGCTGAAATGGCGAATCGTCATGTTAAGATACTCTTTGATGTATAGAAAAGACATAGAAACAGTCAGTAACATTCCAAGTTTGGAGTATTTACATAATTATATTGAAGACTTTAATCAACCATCCAGAATGGCTCATCTGTCCCTTTAACTAATAAAACTTAGATACTAAAAATATATCAAATTCATTTTTACTGAATTAATATAGGCTATGTATCGTTTTGAGGGCGATATGACTTACTACTCCAGATTGTATTTTTAGACGACACCAACATAACAAAATGGAGGAATTTAGATAATTTTATTTTTGAGGTTTTAATATTTTGTCTTTTTCTACATATCATTAATGTTTTTTAATATTTACATTTTTATTTCATGCTATAAACTTATTCATATTGATCAAAGACATGTTCATCATCATGAGTCATCTGGAAAATAGTGCTTACTTTCACATTCTTACTTTTGAGGGTTCATTCATTCATTTGATTGAATCCATTCATGTTTTTGTGTGAATTGAAAAATTTGTTTCAAAATAGGGAGTCTTAGAATGTCTTTGGATTGATAAAAAAAAATGTCAATTGATTAGAAAAAGTTTATTTGAAATATATTATTTCATGTTCTAACAACATTTTTTTTGCGAATAGGCCTAGCATTCTGTTTATAAATAATTTTAGAACACATCATGTATGGATTGAAGATTATGTTAACCCTTTGAATCCTGAGTGTAAATGAAATACAATGTCATATACCCTGAACTCGAAGTAATAAGTAACGTTAACGTTAACGTTGTATGACGTCACTTCGCATCGGCCAATATACCGGCTGCTCGGGTATATATTGCGTAAGTGTTTGGCCGGTAAACCGGCCGCTAGGGTTGAAAGGGTTAAGATATCATTAAATCTGTTGGAAAAAACAATGTTGAGAGGAAGCAGAATGTAGGCAAAATCATTTGAATAGTCAAAATCGGTCACTGTCGGTTCCAATTTACTTTTTGTCATGGTCTAAGCTTAATAGTGATCCAAAAATGGATTTGAGCATTTTCTTTTTTGATTTAGGTTCATTTAAAAATTGTTCAAGACCATGTCGAGAAGTTAAGATCAGATCAGATTCAAGACTGGCCAGAAAGTTGAAGGAAGAAATGAAAAGAAGAACATCAGCACCTCCTAGTTCAACATCATCAGGATCAAGAAAGATAGCTAGACTTGATGATGATGATTCCTTATCACAAACACAATCATCATCAGAATCATCAGCATCATCATCTCAACCATCAAACTTTTTCTCCGAAAAACCTCCAAATCTTGATGAATTAAAAAAGCAAACAGGAGGAGTCAAGAAAGCTGGTCCATATTTATTAGGTGGGTGAATAATCAAAAAATTTAGGAACTGTTATTTGGTTTGGTTTGCTAAATATCCAGTCTGAATTCCTTGATACAAGAAACGTTGTTATTGCAGTCAAGGTATAAGATGATGTCACTAATAACGTGACATTGTTAAGATGTAAGATGGTTAGATTATGGTCCTGCGATCAAGTACATGTTGGTACAGTATGAATATCAACAATATTCTCTATTGCTAAAATGAAACCTGTAAAATGATTCACGAAATGTTGATGTTATATTTCAGGACCTCGGATTGGTTATGGGCCAGTTAAAAGTATTGTACAGTGTTTAGCAAAGAAGGAAGGAAAAGATGATTTCTATAAGATTAAGGTAACGGTCCACAGTCTTCAACCAATAAGAATTTATAGATTTGATAATATTATTTAAAGTTGAGAAAGAAAGAAAGAAAGAAAGAAAAAATATACAATGTAAATACCTGCAAACCTTACCTTCTCTCTGAATGATTTTTTGGTTTATTTCAGATTTTAACATTAGAGAAACCAGAAGATGAAACATATGATGATAGACAGGGGAAAATGTTAATGCATACTGAATATTCTATATTATCATTATTACATAATCAAACTGGAGTAGAACATCATCATGGTTTATTTAAGGTACGTAATATCATACTGAATATTCTATATTATCATTTGCCTTGGCCAAACCACTTTGGCTAAGTCGATGGGAATTTCCAGTATGATTGAAAATGATCGTGATTTGAACCTACAACCACCATTGTGATATATAGAACCCCACAAATCACAACTATTTTCTACAGGATGTGAATCTCGAAAGGGCAAAATTTTCTCCGACCAAGGTATTTAAAAAGTGATCAGAGTGTAGAACTGCATTTCACTCTATTGAGCTGTAAATTACTAACATTACATTACAGGATGAAGCTATAGAAGAGAAAGAAGTAGGAAGTGATAGAAGACAAACCATTGTAACTGGGAAAATACAAAGAAGATTATGTCTAGTATTAGACTGCTTAATACCTCATGATTATTCAACAAGAACTAATAAATATGTAAATTTACAACATCATGTGATTACTGAGCGGAGATTATCAGAGAGTTATGCTATATTAATATTTACTGATATTATTAGAGTGGTGGAAAGTTTACATAAGGTAGGATGGTCATTGACTTCTCTTCTAGATGGTTCAGTTAATGAATTCACCTTAAAAGGTACACAGTATAATTGTGAATATAATGTGCACCACTTCTTAGTAGGTGGTCACTAGCTGTGTTAAATTACTTGTAACGCACTGGCTCTCTCAGATTTCTTAATGGAAATGGCCTCAAATGTATAGCAAAGACGTCAAAATTTGAGATAAGTATTCATATATTTATATTTTTTATATTGTATATTTCTTTGTTATTTCAGAAAAATATTGTACATAGAGATTTAAAGCTAGGTAATATGGTCCTAGATAAAGACGCTAAAAAGATTATTATTACTAATTTCTGTCTAGGAAGACATCTTGTATCTGAAAATGAAATGTTAACAGATCAAAGAGGAAGTCCTGCTTATATTAGTCCTGATGTCTTAAGCTGTAAGTATCTTTTGATTCCTTTTCCGGCCTTATCTCTTTATCTTGGATGTATATTTTCAAGGGTTTAATGTTTCAGATAAAACATATTTTGGTAAACCTAGTCATATGTGGGTTTTATGTTTTAATAAACTTATCTTGGTAAACCTAGTATGTGATATATGGGTCTTATGTTTCAGATAAACCTTATCTTGGTAAACCTAGTGATATGTAAGCTTTATGTTTCTAACAAACTTATCTTGGTAAACCTAGTATTTGATATGGGTCTTATGTTTCAGATAAACCTTACCTTGGTAAGCCCAGTGATATGTGGGTTTCATGTTTCAATAAACCTTATCTTGGTAAACCTAGTGATACGTATGCTTTATTTTTCAGATAAACCTTATCTTGGTAAACCTAGTGATATGTAAGCATTATTTTTCAGATAAACCTTATCTTGGTAAACCTAGTGATATGTAAGCTTTATTTTTCAGATAAATCTTATCTTGGTTAACCTAGTGATATGTAAGCTTTATTTGTCAGATAAAACTTATCTTGGTAAACCTAGTGATATGTAAGCTTTATTTGTCAGATAAATCTTATCTTGGTAAACCTAGTGATATGTAAGCTTTATTTGTCAGATAAAACTTATCTTGGTAAACCTAGTGATATGTAAGCTTTATTTTTCAGATAAACCTTATCTTGGTAAACCTAGTGATATGTGGGCTCTTGGTGTAGTGCTATATACATTATTTTTTGGCAGAGTACCTTTCTTTGATACAACACCTCAAGAATTATTCCGTAAAATTAAGGCAGTTGAGTTTACTATACCTAAGTAAGTCTATTTTTTTTCAAATCAATGTTACTGGCAAATTTACTAGATTTAAATTACAATTAATGGACAGACTTAGACCAGCTTATAGTTCATATTGAATCTTGGTTTTCAGTCACCATTAGTTGGTTAAAACTGAGCTCTATCATATGTGAAAGCAAACACTTAAACACATAATATATACCGAAATTGGAAAATAGCTGACTTAGACGTTAGATATTTTGAAACATTTATTGATGGCATACTTGTAAGCTTATACACTCTTGTCTTAGACAACATTTATTTTTGACTGATTTATTAGTATTCTATGAATTCCCTATATATATTGCTAGTGATGTTCCTGTATCAGAAAACAGTATAATGGTTATACGGAAATTATTGGTTCTAGATCCTAAAACTAGAATGACAGCTAGCCAAGTATTAGATGCTATGAGTGTTATATTATCTACTAGGTATGTCAATTAGTGTTATATTTTATTTTATTTTTTTTTTTTTTTTTTTATTTTTTTTTTTTATTTGTTGTTATTATTGCTTTATTATAAACAGATAAAAAAGTTAAATTTGAATCCCAAATGATTTTTGACAATTTCAGCCAGAATTTTATTATGTTGAAATTATTTGGATGGGATTGTGTTTTTATTCAATTTAAATGATCAATTTATATATTAATCAATTTGAACAGTACTGCTTCAAAACTGATGTCAAGGTCACCATCACCTTACTAACTAATGTAGACAAACAGTAATCTGAATTTCAAATGAAATTAGTTAATTGATTCATTACATTTTCTATTATTATTTATATCGACTTATCTAAATAGGAAATTTCAGTTAATTGTATTCTAATTTGATATTTTTACAATTTATTTTCAGACGTGTACATTCAAGTTTAAAAGATATGACAGTTCCTGATATTGATAGTGCTGAAACAGAAACTAACAATTCCGAGAGAATCATTGTTCATAATTCTTCAGATTTTCATGTGGTGCCTGATATTGACATCAATAAACTGAATAAAGCAAAATCTGAGCAAGGAAAAACAGTTTCTCATAACATGCCATTTTCATACAATACCCAATATCACGAACATTCTTCCAACTTCCAGCAAATCTTACAGACGGTTAATAGTGAATGTAGTGCTAGTACCAGTACAATAACCTGTAGATCTAGACGTACCGGACCTCCACCAATAAAAAGACTTCATACAGATGCCCAACCGCTAACACCCTCAGAAATAGCTGCTCTACATCATGCAATTCCAAAAGTTTGATTTTTTTTATTTCTAAAAGTTTACGAAAATACTGATATATGATAGCTGAAATTGAACTCTTATTGGCTGATGAAGTAAATATTTAGACTGCCTTATCTCTTTAAAGATTATTGAATTTATTTACTTGACACTTTTGATTGTTTTTAAATAACACTAACAGAATAATCAGGGAATTAATTTAAACTAAAGATGCTTTCATCAAAATCTTTTCTTCTCTGAAGCTCATAAAAATTTACACCAAATTTTAAGTGCATGTTATTGATGTTTAATATATATTTCAGATTTTTAATTGTATTCTTTATTTAAACATTTCGTTTCACTATAATCGTATTATAATATTTTTTTTCTACCATTCATTAGTTTGATGCACATGCAGATCACTGAATTGATTTTTTTTGAATCATCAAATATATTTCACACTAATCCTTATTAAATGTCTACTATTTGGACATATTACTTATAGTATATGTTTTACTAATAATGGGAAATCTAACTAATATGATGTCTAATTGGACGTCTTATTAATAAGATATCTAACTAATAGCATATTTAACTAATAGGACATCTAACTAACGGTATGCCTAACTAATGAGACATCTAACTAACGGTATGTCTAACTAATGAGACATCTAACTAATGGTATGTCTTACTAATGAGACATCTAACTAATGGTATGTCTTACTAATGAGACATCTAACTAATGGTATGTCTTACTAATGAGACATCTAACTAATGGTATGTCTTACTAATGAGACATCTAACTAATGAGATATAACCAATATGAGTAACATAATTGACTGTGATAGTATATTTGCTTACAAAAAGTTTATTGCTCTTAATGGAAATCTGAAAGAGCTAAATTTGTATATTATTCAAAATTGAACAGGAATTTAATATATTCAATGACTGATAATGTTTAATTTTTGAAAAAATGTTAAAGAGTATATCAATGATAATGTACAGAATTGTTATTTGTAGACAATTGTGAATTGATAAAGATATTTGAATGATAATGACTAATATAATACACATGAAATATTTTTATATTGAATCAAATTAATTATCTATTACGAAGATTTAAATTCCTATGATTTTTATTTTGTATTTAAAATTATGATATTGTTTATGTTTACTTAATGGTAAAACTATGTCTCATTGCATCATCATTTTCTGATTTGACAAGTATGATCTTCTTTATAAGATTTTTTGGGGGTTTAAATCCTCATCAGAGGAGAATGGTTTGACAACTTTTTTATCTTTTTTCCAGAGGATATTATTTGTTCAAATGCTATTAAGAAAGAAGTATGATTTGACAAGTATGATACATAGATACATAGTATGATAAGCATGATGTGTAGACATTTGCCAGAAGTTAAGAGACACAAGAAAGCAAGAGCAAGTTTTATTTGTCAAACTTCAAACTTCACTGGCTGAAATAGATCTCTCTACACATTTTAGGTTTAAAGATTTCTACAACACTATTTTAACAATGAAAACTGTTCTTATTATGTATGAAAATATAGATATTAATATGGAGAATCTCAAATTGGTCATATATCTTTAGAGTGATTCTGACTCATATTGAAAATTATGCTACAAGATTTGTGTAAATAGTGTACAATATTTGAGATGTTATAATTGAAATTATAAAGATATTGTTATATACCTTTCACGTTTTGATGTCAGTGGCTTTTAATCCTTCAACTCATTTGAAATTATTTCTACTATGTTTCACTGTGGCAGAAACCTTTCATGTTTCTACTGTGTTTTACTGTGGCAGAAACTTATTCATATTTCTACTGTGGCAGAAACTTTTTCATATTTCTACTTTGTTGCAGAAACTTTTTTATATTTCTACTGTGTTTCACTGTGACATATAAACCTTGTATAAGGGGACATGGTTATAAACATTCACAATGTTTTCAAACTGGAAAATCAACAAGCTTCTTCTATGTTTATCTTTATGCAAACATACTTGTGAATATTGTATGAAAATGGCCAACCCCTGAAAAAAGGTCATTTTGATTGGCACTAGCTCTAAATTGTTAAACACAACATTGTATAGATAGCATTACAAAATACAATATTTATTTCAAATGTCTTACATGATGTTTTAAAAATAAAATGTTTTATAAATATTATCATTCAGATTATCCCCAATTACAGCTGGGTGAGAATATTTAGGAAACTGACAGACACTAAAACAAATGGGTTTGCTTGGCTCATTAGCAGCTACCTGGATTCAAAACGAAAAAATGTATGGTCATAACCTAAACAGGAGTGGTCCACTATTTAGGTAGTTTAAGTATTAATGAACAGTCCTATAAGTTCAATAAATTAAATTTGGACTCAGATGTCTACATAAATCTTCGTTTGACTATATTTGAAGTTGTCATGTTTCTGACAAAGGTCCTCAATCTAAAATACTCTTATTAAATTTCAAAACTTATTTTTCATATATAAAAATGGAGAGAAAAAAACTAGAGAGAGAAAATGACATCACAATATATAATTATAACATATAATATTACAGATAGACATAAAAAATATTAATATCATGCAGATAGACAAATATATTTTACATGAATAGACCACTTTATACATGTATATACAAAAACCTCATTTTACAAATAACACTATGCACATCAACATATTGACATAGCCAACATAACAAATTGACATCATTTACCAGCTGGTAAAGTTAATATTTAGATGACTATATCGCTTCAAGATAATTCCTGTGTTTTTACAAATAACAGCACTTGAACATCAACTGATGATGCACATAACCAAAATTAACAAATTGAAAACAGACATCATTTGACAATTGATGAAATTGACCAGCTCGTAAAGCAAATATTTAGATGACTATATCAACTTTTATTAATTCCTGTGTTACAATGTTCATGATTAAATTACATTTCCGGTCGTTAATTTTGCTTTTGGTCTCCATTGTAAAGAGAAAAAGAGTTATGTCAAGGTCACGTACTGGTGAGTCTAGACATCCATTTCAACCAATAATAGCCTGTCATGCAGAATTCATGTCTAAAATATTAATTATGAACTGTGGGACTTCTAAACCCAAAGTAGAGCGAAATGACTAATGATTTAAGAGACTTTGAAATAAATCTCCATAGGTCACAATGGAGACCGATAAAAAAATATGTAACAAAATGAAATTGTAATTAGATTGGTGTTGTAATGATCTTAATTATAACATTTATATAAACTTAACTAATAACTATCCCTTAATAAGTAACGTATTTGATACTTTCAATGGGCCTATACTCTGCATCAATTATATACTCCAAGCAACAAGCAGGATTTATGGTTGGTTTTGTATCTATTATCAATCCATTTGCACTATACACTTTCTTAACAGGGAACAAAATATACAGTTTTACACAGCAGTTTGCTACACAATTTAGACAAATAGTCACACATGAAAACATCACTCAAGAGTGAATATTACTCAGTGTCATTTTCTAAAAAATTGCAAAAGCTTGTGTGCAATTCTCAAGAACAACATAATCAACATTTTAAGAATGATTGTCCAATCAGATGACTAGAGCATAAAAATCATCTGAAGAAAGTGCTACACAATTACGATACTCTATTTTGCACCCTGTAAGGACAATGGCGTTTCTACAGAAAAACTGAGGCTAATCCAGCTTTGCCTCTCAAACTCTCCAAATTTTTTAGTATTTTGATTAGGGAAAGAAAGGCCTGTGAGAACCCCTTGACAATTCTGGGGGCCTTACTCAATTCTTAGAAACGCCACTGTGTAATAAATATGATCAGTGATTAAAGTTTTCCTTATTTTACACAATAAACATACAGTATTTACTGTCGGCGTAAATTCTCTAGTCTGGCTTCTAAATCAGCATCAGCATCACTAACAGGACCAGCAGGTACAGCTTGTTTAGCTGGACCCCCTTGAGCTAGTGATTTACCAGTTTGAGGAAGATCTATAAAATAACAAATGCCATTTATTTGTATTTTACAATGGGTGTACATTATTTCATTTTCCATGGAAATCATTAATGGATGAATTCAGGGCCAATCAGATCCGAGGACCAGTTGATAATGAGTAACTAACACGATCGCTTGGTTCAACTGGTCTCAAATGAAATAACAAATAAATCAAAGTGGTCTGTATGACAAACAACACTTATTTTCAATGATGGATAGCTAGAAAATTGTCTGACGTGTTATTTCTAAACAAGAAATAAGATTAACTATAACATTTATTGGCAATAAGATATAATACACTTACTATTAAGATCATCAGCCATCTGTAAACCTAGTTCATCAAATATCTGAGATACAACAGCATCACTGAAAATCATAACAAATATCCATGTAGAAAAAAGTAATCTAGTTGTTACAAATACAAAATTCAATAACCAAATTAATATTCTCTATCCAGACATAATATGGAGTACTTAGTTAGTCTTATTTTTTTTTGATTGCTTTTCATTACATTCCCTTTTTGGTACATTTTCTCTTTAGGATATTTAAAAAAAAAGAACATGAATGAATAATGAATCTTTGTAAAAGAATGAAAATAATCCAAATTTAATATTCTATATTATAAATACCTTTCCTCCTCATCATCTTCATCACCCATAGCATCATCAATAGCATCACTCATCATTTCTTCTTTCATATCCATGATCTCAGACTGTTTTTCAAATTCCATCATAATCTTTTGTATCTGAGGTAATTTTAACTGTAACAAAACAAAAAAATATAACAGAAAGAAGACAAATTTCTCATTACTACAAACTCATTACATATTCCTACTCCTTCTCACAAAAACAATACCAACCTTGTCCTTGAACATTCTAAAAACAATATTCTTTAACAGATTTAAGCATCACAATTTATTATAAAAGCAAAAGAAAAAAAAGTTTAAAAACCCTGTTCAAAATCATTGTAAAGTGTGCTTATATCCCTGCTTATATGTTTCTCAAGAACTTTTATATGGTCTTGGATAATTAAAATTTAGATTAATTATATCAATCAATAAAACCATAGAAAAAAATTCGAGATAATTTACCTGTTTGTTCATGGTTTGCATTGCTTTTGTGACACCTTTCATAGCTTGAGCCATGGTATTACTAGATTTCAGAGTTTGTATTTTTAAAGACACAGCCTGTATATTAGCTCTCATTGCTATAAATTTCTTCACATATCTTCTAGTTCTTACTAAATCTTTGGCCATTACTTTTACTGCATCCTGAAATATAACAAAAACATTTAAAATTTCCCCAAAAATATAGAAATATATTAAGCTTATAAGCTTACACCATTTGCAATTTGCAAAACACTTAAACAAATTTGCAAAAGAGTAAGAGATCTCCAAGATAAGCTTTAACATTTGAGGATCTTGGCTATATCCACTTACCGTTTTATGATGAATTAATATTGAGGGTAAGCTTACAATAGATTTATGAATGAAAGGAATATTATTGCATAGATAAGTACATTTAGAATTCTCTAATAACCCTTATAACAATAGTCATCCAAATCCTACCATTTGTCCTTTTTTAGCCATTGTTCTGATATCAGCTATAACTTTCTTTTCTTGTTGTTCCATTTTCTGTCTTTCTCTATCTAAATCTCTCATGGCCTTATTTAAAGCTCTTTGATTCTGTCTTAACATCTCTTCTGGAGTCTTCTTGCGTCCAAATAACCATTCTAAAGGCATCTTGTCTGATTAGTGGTAGTTCTTCCTAAAATAAATAAATAATACACTTTTCCAAGTTGTTGTAACCATATTCAAAATGTATGTCTGATGTACTAAACTATCAGTACTTGCATGCAAATTAGGGCCTAGATTATAGATTTAACATTTAAAAAAGAAAATTAACAACTTTTGAAATATGATCCATCAGATCTATAACCAGCCTAACATACCTGTCAGTAGAGTTCAATTAACTTTATATTCAAGCTTATAATAAGTTAACACCGGCAGACAGACAGATTATACCTTTAAATGTTTTCCCTAACCTAACCTACACAATCATGGAACTAATAAGCTATCCTACCACTACTAAATATAAGAATAAGAGTCTATGATAATTGTGCAATCTCAGTCTTATACTATAGTAAATAACACTGACAGTTGATCTGACTTATCTGATCCTATTTTGGAAATTATGACTGGCAATCACATGCACAATTTGTCATCAATATTTATCATGAAACGATGGCTAAGAAAGTGAAGTGTCTTGTTCTAAAGTTGGAGAAACGGTTTTAAAGAATGTGGAAAAATAATATTGATATGGCTTACAATAATATCAAAAATTGAAAAAAATTAACTTTTGGTGTTTTTACTTTCTTTCACTTCCAGTTTGTTTTGTGACTGACGTCATCATAACATGATCATTACTCTCAAAACAAAACATTAAGAAAATCAACTAAAAACACGAATAAACTTTATCAAACATTCCTTTATATATATTTTATATTGAATCTTTTATTCTATAGAATTTGTTATATATTTTAAACTAAATACACAAAAATTAAATTTAATAGGAGTAGTTTGGTTGGAGATATTTCGATGAGTGGTTTCCTAAGATGGCGGCTTCGCTGCAGTGATGTGCGGAATTGGGGTGCGCAATTCAATATTTCCTATTCTTCTTGTCTGTTTTGTGTTGTTTTGTAACTGTCGATGTTGACTTTGAATGTCTGACTAAATCATACTTTGAATACTGAATTGGAATCTTTGAAATACACCAAAAAAAGACACCCATTTACATTCCATTTCAATTGTGTTTTTATTGTCATACTGGCTTTTTGCCAAATCAGCTTTATTTATGCCGTCCGCCAACTAGCCTCTATCGTGTCCATTTGAGTTACAATATGAACCCCGTCCATATGGGAACCAGCAGGCCTGAACATACAACGAGTTTAATATGATATCCATAAGGTTATAACTGATTGAATCTTGGTTCTAAAAAAAAGTTTCTGTCAAAACTTGTTCTGTGTTGATGACATCCTCATCATATTGTCATTGATGTCTTTAGGCCTATAGGCTAATAATATAATAATATTGTAAGTCAATATGCCCATGAATCATAGAAATACTACTGAATAGTAACATGGCAAATATATTCCTGATGACGGTGTGAGAACCACATTGAAACGTTGAAGTACGGTAATAAATATTCCAGAAGTATATATCCATATAATTGTCTTATTTATGGCAAATATAGTTGTTTTGAAGTCTGGGTACAAAATGATTTATCGAAATCTAGGCTAGCCTGATGTTATTTATTCCATGAACTTACATTGCGAAATTGTTGTGTACCCTGGATACAAAGTAAAGTTCTGATTCATACAATTCTGACCACAGTGTTTGTGGAATCGATTTTTGTCACTGATTTAAAAATCAGCTTATTTCAAAAGAATAATTTTGACCCAAGATTGTCTTTTGTCGAATAAGCTTACCCATTAACACAATGACAATTTTGCATTGTTACCTGAAACAAAAAAAAAACCTAGATGATCCAAGACTTTGAATCTTGATCACATTGCCATGACATGGGATGAACTAAATTTTTCATAGATTTTGGTCATGACGTCTAGCTGAAATGACAGGGCCTTATTTTTGTTATTGCTTGGTCTTTGCTTATCTCTTTCATGTGACTATATTATTTTGAACGTTTATTTTTTTTTTTTTCAGCACTGAATAAATACACGTAATAAACATCCGAGCCAAAAAATTACTATTAAAAACAAAACAAGAAGAATCTGATTTTTTTCAACTTGAAGTAACACGACGATTGTGCCCATTCCATTAAAAACTACTTGCACACACTGTTAGCAAGCAATAACTGGGTTTGACAGACATTAACCAATACAAATAACATCATGGAAGACTTTAGTAGCAGATCTCCTTCTATGAGGAAAGCTAACGGCTCACAATTTAAGGTAATTTGGAATATTTTTCATTTGATTCATTAGCAGTTTAATTCTGCTTTCTTTTCTGCAAGGAAACTTAAGTTGATATAAAGGATTGATATACAATGATGATAATTTTAAATTATAGTCGTGGAGAAAAAAAATATGATGGACATACATCCTGCTTTTGATTAGCAAATGGAAGACAGAAAATGATATGCTTTGTTCAATGTGGAAATATTCCATATCAGCCCTTCTGACACTAATCACTGATTTAACCTGGTCTTGTTTTTTTCAGAAGCTATCAACTCAAGTCTCAGACCCGGCCATCATGTCTTTTCATCAAGGCCCAAATAATGTCAATTCCTACAACAATGTTCAAGTGACCAATACAAATGGTGTACGTGAAACAGGTGTAATAGATAAACTTCAGGTAAATCTGCTTTCTTCTGTCAGATGCTCTTGTACCTTTGTACAATCAAGGCTGGATAATGTGTGACTGTCATCTATATGACACCCCTCTGAAACTTCTTTTGAACTCTTTCACAATAGCATATTTTCTATTAATATGAAACTGTATAAATATCATTGGGTTGGGTTTTTTGTCTGTCAAATTGTATCCATTGATCATAATCATGCTTTTATATTTCAGCATTCCTATGGATTTATAATTTGCTGTGATAGGGAGGCGAGGTTATTTTTTCATTTTAGTGAATATAATGGAAACTTGGATACTATGAAAACAGGTGGTAAGTAAAGCCATAATTTATAAAATCTTTCCAGGAATTCCAGACAAGGACCATTATACCAGCCTCCTGGGGGAAGCGGATGTGACGCACAGTGTTAAGAGATGATGTAAATTGAACAATCAGAAATTTATGGTCACTTTAATTTATGATCACTTTAATCATATTGCAAAGTTCATCAATATGGTGTCATTATATTTGATGTCTATAACAGTAAAAACTAAAATATTCTTATTGTTTATTTTAGATGCAGTTGAATTCCAGATGTCATATGATCGTAGAACTGGTAAACCTATAGCTGTAGCTGTTGTTAAAATAGATCCAAGTATGGTAACATCAGAAACTGTTGATGGTAAACGATGCAATGGTACTGTTGTACAAGAAGCTAAACAAAGTAAAGCTAAAAATGTAGGTTAGCTTATGTAGAACAACCAAGCTATAACAAAAAACAACAATTATAATGCATTGACTGAAAAGAATAGTTGTCAAAGTATTTACTATATCTGCCTACGTCCCTTTTCACAAGGAATATCTGATGTCTGGAAATGAAGATGTACCATGACAAGGGCTTCAGTTCACAGGCAGTTACACACTCCATGCGGGCTTGTACAGATAAGCATTATAAAATTTGGATACCAGTGAATTTATTGTGGCTTGGGATGATTTTCAGGGAACTGTACAGAACAACCAAGATGATATGGGAAGAGTTACTTATGAACACAGTGGTGAATTTTTCTTTTTACCCTATGCTATAGAAGATATTTGTAATGGGTTTAGAAAATTAACAGCTGGTGATTCTGTATCATTTACTGTAGCTACTGATAAACGGTAAGATATATTTCTTAACAGATCTGGAATGACTCCTGATTATATTCCTTGGAAGGATATTTTCTTTGCATGTAATTCCATATAACCTCTCTTGGTTAAGTGTGGAGGGGTTGTAAAGATAATTTTTTTGATCTGTATAGGGCACATACGCATTGTTGTATTATCAAAGTTTGCATCAGATGTCTGTGCTGCCTTTAATTATAAGTATACTTAACCATACATGATTTCACTATTGCAAAGCTGCAAATGATATCGAAGGCTTTTCTTCTATAGCTTTTCATAAAATGCTTAGTTTTTGATTGAATAGCTAGAAACTCTGAAAATTTAAATGGTGCATATTGATGCTAAGCTATAAGCTCAATAGAACAGACATAACTGTTGCAGAAAGTGGCTTAGCATAGTGTAAATTGTCAAGTCCAAAACAAGGTTAAAGATTATTTGATCTATGGTTTAATATTTTATATTTCTATTATTTCAGCACTGGTCATGTGAGAGCTTGTCAATTAGAATTAATAGAATCACCAACTAGTTCTAAACATCAAGGTGTAGTTTGTTCTATGAAAGAAAGTTTTGGTTTTATTGAGAGGTCTGATGTGGTACGAGAAATCTTCTTCCACTACAGTGAATTTAAAGGCAATATTAATGATCTGATACTAGGTGATGATGTAGAATTTGGTGTTCAGAATAGAAATGTAAGTCTTCACTGTGTTTGAAAAAAACTTAGAGATATTATTCAGCTCTTGTATGTACACTTTTTAGCTTCTAATTACAACCTTCTAATATCCTGTCAAAAATTTTTGATTTCTTTAGAATATGAAAAAAACTTATCCATATGATGTTTGTGTGGTAACTCTGTTGGACATGAAATGAAAATGCAAACAGTCGTGTCCATGTGGCAAGAAAAACTCTTTTGAAGAACCCTTTCCGTGTTTTCCGTTTTTCCATTGTGAAATTGATGTAAAGCACCTGAGTCAGACTGCCTGTCATTTTTACCATGGTCGGTGCCGTTATGCAACACAGCAAATAATTATTAATGATTCTATATTTTCAACAGGGTAAAGAAGTAGCTATAGAAGTATCTAGACTACCAGAAGGAACTGTAATATTTGAAGATGTATCAGTCAACAGAATACAAGGAAAAGTACTTAAAGAATTAAAGAATAGTAACAATAGAAGACAAAGTGATCCTCTAGGTGGCAGATTGATCTATGAAACACCAAAGGGGTATGTATACTTAGAAACATTTATTGGAGTCAGACATTAACAGGGTATTGCTGGTTTCAGGTTGTCAAAGTTTTTCTCTTAATGTTGCAAATAAAAATTTATGTTTATTGTGTTTTTAGCTTTCAGGCCCCATTTACTAATATATGGTTGCAGCTTCAAGGCCTTTTTCATCGATATGTTTGCGGCTTCCATCTCCCTAGTAGCAATATTATGGTTGCAGTTTCCAGGCCTCTATAACCCATTTTATGATTGAGCTTTCAGCTTGTAAAGCAATTATTTAAATAACTACCCCAAAGTTTGTGGTATGAATTTTGAAATTTACCAAGTTTTGCTTTCTTCTTAATTGACTTAAGAACTTTCAATGAACAAGGGTATTAATTGATTTTAAAGACCTAGTTTATTATTATTGTAGAACAATGGAAGTACCATATGGTGATAAAGATCAAGCCGGTGAATATACTCTAGTACAGGGAGATTTTGTCGAGTTCAATATAGCTACTGATAGAAGAGATAAGCTACAACGTGCTACAAATATTGCTTTATTAGAGGAAACATTTCTTAAAGTTGGTGAACAGAGAGAAACTGTAAGATTTACTTTTGATTTTTCAGTGTGATTGAATATTTTTGAGTTGAATAATCTAATTTAAGAGAAAAAAAAGGGATTTTGACACGGAATGCTACGGAACAGTATTTTTTACTGGATTGAAGCTGTTCTACAAATGCATTATATTATATTATCAGTCATCTTTTCTAAAGAATGAGACTGTCTTGTCTTGCTTAATTCTCCTAATACTCAAGTCAAGCTCAAATTTAGTTAAGTCTTTGAACTTGTACCTGATAACTTCAAGGACAGTGGTATAATTTTCTCTAGAAATACAAGGAATTTCCTTGAAAGTATAATGATTGTATGATGGGAGTGAAGTAATTTAAGTTATATCTATTTATGACAGGGATTAGTTGTAAGTTTAAAAGATGCCTATGGATTTATTCAGTGTGTTGATAAAGATGTCAGGATATTCTTTCACTATAGTGAACTCCTTGATCCTACCCATGTTCTTAAAGTACAGGATGAGATGGAATTTACTGTTACTCAGGTAAGCCCATAGTCTATTATGAGCTCTAAGGCATGGTATGTAAAAGAATGCTTTCTCAGCTACTGAAAAAAGTGAAATAGGACAAAGGTTTGTAAGGAAGCTATACTTTATTAAATTTTTCAGCACATCTAAAAAGCTAGAATGAAAATGGGATGATGTCCTAGATTTAGTGCTTACCAGATGAAGGATGAAGTATTTAGTACTGAAAGAGAAAAGATTAATCATAATTGATTACCAATTCACAGAACCGTGCCTTGCAATCTGAAGATTTTGTGACCTTGACCAGTAGATGACTGCATCCAACTTTCAGCCTATGAGGTTGCAACTGGTTTCTGCTGTGTGTTCCATAAAAGCGAAAAACTTGCTGGCTGTACAAGTGCCAGACCCAGTCCTGTGTCGGTTTTTAACCCTTTCCTCTTATTATATTTGATATTTACCAGTACCTCTTGTTTTTAGGATCCGTCCTCTCCAAGCCGCCAGATTGCCATTAGGATTAAACCACTCATCAAAGGTTCTGTATCATTACTTACTATACACCCACAGAAATTTATTGGAACTATAGAAAAAGAACCAAGTTCTCATAAATCTCAAAGTAAGTCTATCCTAAATTCTTAATCTACAGTTCTGACTAAATCAGGCCTCTCCTTGTTCAACACCATATATAATTTTTTTGTTGATATTGCCAATTTTCCTGTTATTACCAGTAGAGTGAGCCAATAATGTAATAAAATTATATCCGAAATTTATTTGGTTATTGATTTTTCAATATCATTAACTTAGATAGACATATTTTAAAATGAGTCATTTGTCTTCAAATAAAAACTAACTAGCTATGTTCTTGTTCACAATATAACACTTGATGTGTTTTATTATATAACCTTAAGTTAACTTTATGTTATACCAAGGCTATAAGAAAATCTATTCACTAATCTATTTATAATGTTTGGTAGGTAAAAGTAAAGAGAGTGAAAACGGAAGTATTGTATATGATTATGATGGAAGCATACAGAAAATATATTATACAACTAAAGACGTACTAGATATGAAGAACAGTCCAAGATATGGTGATAAGGTGATTATTTATGAACATTGTACCTTTCTGGTGTGCTGATTGATAACTGACAAAACAAGCTATCAGAGTTAGAGGTTAAAAGCCAAAGGCTGATCATGGAATCATTGGTCTGTAAATCGAATTGCCATGTGCAGTTTCAAAATTGAAAAAGAACTGGCTTTCCCAGATGTTTAAACAAATTTGCATCTTTTTCTTATTGAGAGAATTTCTTCATGAGATATAACTTTCTTGTTTCAGGTTGAATTTAGTGTTGCTGAACAGAAACGTAATGGTGTAAAGATAGCTATAGATGTAAGAGTTGTATTACGTAATATAACCGGTAGATGTCAAGGTTTTATAGCTACATTAAAAGATAATTATGGTTTTATAGAAAATGCTGAACATGATAAGGAAGTCTTCTTTCATTACAGGTAATGTCATGGAAAATTATTTAAAAAAGAAGTCTAAAATTCTTTTGATGTACTGTCTATCATTCACTTTTGTCAGCTACAATTATTGTGGGGACTAAGATTTATGGATTTATATTTGGACTAGATTATTTTTCTTTTATATTTCATCAAAATTCTTTGACCTAATTATCTATCCTAATTATTTGTACCAATTAGTAAAACTAATGCAAGTTTTATACATTATTGAACATTGAAGAAATTTTAGTTAAATCACTGTTCAATCAATTGATATAACATTCAGTACCTCATATTTCATGCAGAGTTAAATTCATTCATTAGCTAACTCTTTCATTGACATCTTAGTTAAATATTTTTAAATATTTATTTTTTGTCACAGATTTTCACAATGAATGTTTATATTCTAGTTCTTATGATGGTGATATTAGTGAACTAGAGTTAGGTGATGAGGTAGAATATGTATTAGCCAGGAAGTCTTCTAAACTTAGTGCTGAAAATATACACAAACTAACTAAAGGAACAGTATCGCCAGTAGAAATACAACGTAATATGGGTGTTCTACAAGGTCGTATTAAAAGACCTATGAGAATAGTTAATCCTGAACAAGATGAATATTGTGGATTAGTTCAAGTTGGTGTTGAAGGTATGTATGGATTTCGTTTGCCTCTTGGAGAAATTTCCCCTGTTGACTGATCAAAGACTTTCTTCAATGGGTGATATTCACCTTGGATTACCAATTGATTCTCTTAAAGCTTGTATGAAATGACTCATTAGAGAATTAATATGAGATATACTTGAGAACTGAGTACCGTAATATGTGATGACTCTGAGAACTGAGTATTATGTGATGACTCTGAGAACTGAGTCCTATCCTATGTACTGTGAGAACTGAGTACTATGTGTTGACTCTGAGAACTGTGTATTATGTGATGATTCCGAGAACTGAGTACTATGTGCTGACTCTGAGAACTGAGTACTATGTGCTGACTCTGAGAACTGAGTACTATGTGCTGACTCTGAGAACTGAGTACTATGTGCTGACTCTGAGAATTGAGTACTATGTGCTGACTCTGAGAACTGAGAATGTGGTGACTCCAAGAGACATTGTGAGAAGATTCTGAGAACTGAGTACTATGTTATGACTCTGAGAATGATGTGTGAGATGCCTCAAATCTCAGAGAAGTTTTACACAAAATTCTTAAGTGTTTTCATAAATTGACTGTTTAGTGAACTTTTTGGAATGGGCCATATGTGACAAAAACTATTGTAATATTAATGATTGTATTTATAGCTAATGAAAATGCTGTTTGTTATCAATATGGTATAACTAGTTTAGCTGATAAGAGAGATTTTCTACAGAAAGGTGATTTGGTCAAGTTCCAAGTAGCTCAAGTTCAGATAACCTCAGCATTACGTGCTGTTAATATAGCCGCCTCTAGAAAATATATTAGAGCTACTGTAGACTCTGTAAAGGGACAGGTAAGTTGAAGATTTATTTTACTACGTAACAAAAATTCTTACATTTCAAAAAATAATAAAAAATACAATGATATGAAACAGTCGACAAAAATTTCATTAAATAATTGTAAATGAAAAAATTGTGCAAATTATTTCAACATAACACATTTTTATTTCTCCATATTTTATTGTGTAGAATACACATGCTATTAGCCTCTAGCTAGAAACTGTCACCCACCTTTGCAATAAGATTTTCAGGCAGTTCTCTTAGAATTTGAGTCCAACCCTGTGTAAACACAATGTCAATCAGTGTAATTAGAGAGCAAAATGTCTATTACCAGTTTGTTTAATATATTCTTTCTTTTCAATATATAGTTTGGATTTATAAACCATGAAGTTGAAGATGGTAAAAAGTTATTTTTCCATATGACTGAAGTCCATGATGGAGTTGAAATCACACCTGGTAATGAAGTAGAGTTTGTTATTGTTCAAAATCAAAGAAATGGCAAATACTCAGCATGCAGTCTTCGTAAAATAAGGTAAGTGTTACAGGATTTCAAATATTGGCAAATCCTATGGCAATTTCCAAACATGTTGGGCAGAAAAGAATTTATTGAAAAGTCATTCAAAAGGAAACAGCAATCTGTCTGATTTTATTGTATTATACTATGTGCTAAACTTTATTATTTGACAAAGGATCTACTTGTTTATAACATAGTAAACTTTTCTTGTTAATGGATCAGTTATATCATACAATAATATTTGTAACATTAATAAATTTTTGTTATAGTGAAAGTCGTCGACCAGAAAGATTAATTAGTAGATTAAAGAGTATGTCTGATGATTCAGCACCACGTATAGTTGTTATTAGACAACCTAAAGGACCAGATGAAAAATCTAAGGGTTTTGTACGACCTACAATACCATGGATTGTTCCTGTCTAAATACATAGACATTCAGTTCTTCACCATTTTAACAACTTATATGGTACACAATTTTGTCTTTCAAATTGATCAATGTTGCCTAACAATTTACTTTTTTCAGTATTTTGATTTTTTTTGAAATTCATGTCTTTCTATTTATAACTTAATATGAAAATCGTTAAATTTGATTGTGTTAGACACTCACCTAGCTAGTCAGTGTACTTCCAATATGAATTGCAAAATCTTATTTTAACACAAATTGTATATAGGATAAGTTAACATTAAAGTCATTAAGTATATTTCAAATACGCCTCTATTTAGAAAGCTAGTACCAGGAAAAATAAATGAATTAAAAAAAAAAAAATTGAAAAGATAATGAAAAATTAACAAAAAAGTGGAAAGCTCTTAAGATATACATAAAAAAAAAAATAGTAACAATTATTTTACCATGATGCTGTTCCCTCTTTTTTTCTTTCTCCTATTTCATGTGGATTTTTATGCCTAAGATGATTGAACAAAAGAGTTTTTAAATTGAATGAAATGTTTTGTAATTTTATCGAAGAACCTGATCGATTTTTCGATACTCTGAATGCAATGTTATTTATTGAAATTAAGAGGATTGTCTTTGGAAAAGTGAATTTGGGTCATTTTCTATGAAATATGATTAGGTTCTTCTATAATTTTGTGTACTAATCTAATGATGCATGCAGTTTTGTGTTATTTATTTATAATTTCAACTATTTGATTTGTGCAATATGTGAGCACATAAAAAATTGATGCCTGAAGACATCAGTTTCGGGGAAATTGAAATAATCCAAATTACGTGTCGTATTTACCAATTAGTCTTGACAAAGTGATCTAAATATTGTTATGTCTTTTGATATTATTTCTAAATGTTCAAGTGATTATAGTGCTTCCGTTTCTGCTCACATTTTGTTTGTAATTGCTGTTGTTAAGGGCATTATTTTATGGAAAAGTCATATTTTAATCTAGATGGTTAATTTGATTGGTTGGTTCTTACTATTGATGAGAGTGAAGCCAGAACAATGAATCGAACAAACCCTTCCTCTATATCTCCTATGATGAATAGTATGACTGTTTGAGAATAACCAAAAGTTCTGATGATTTGAACAGAGTCAGAACAACCAATCAAACAAACCCAGATATATTTGTAATGTTATTTTCCTATGTCTGTTTGAGAGTAGCATGTATATAAAGGCCAGTATATTTGTATGGTTTGACCATTCCTGTGTATGTTATATTTGAAGGCCAATTATAAGGGGTTATTTTACACATGCTATCTATATATTATTTACATCTATTGAGCATAATGTGATCATTAATATGTTAAGTCACAGTTTTCAGTTATCAAAAGTGGTCTTGTACTGAGGAAAATGTTGAATATTTTTGACTAACAAAGACCCTAAGTTATTCAGAGGCTGCAAGAGCTCAAACTGATAATACAATTTTAATCAAAAGAAAATTGAAATGGAGTTTTACATCCTACATGTCAGCTGGAATAAATTATATTGTCAATTACTTCATTACTACTTTTGAATTCCATGCCTCTCGGGAAAAGTTTCCCTGATATGACACTGCATGGCATTGCCATTCCCACTAAGACAAAATATTTAATGCTTGGTTTACATCTTTGATTCAACATTTTCCTCATTAAAATCTCTTTCAGTTTGAATATTGTGTGTCGTAATTCAAAGTGCAATTATTTCTTATGTCATGTCATGTTTTAATTTATTTATTGGGTCTTCATTTATCTATTGAATGGAATTGTATTATTTGATTATTGTACTTGAACATAGTCAGTTTCTGTCCTAGTTAGCTCTTGTATAGTTAACTGTAAAAATTTTATGTGACAAATTTTTAACCCTCAAATTTTGTGGTACCTCGACACAAATACCTGTTCATTAGGCATGCAGGTTTTGTGCAGAGTTTCCATATGAATATTAAAAAAACTCGCTTACATGTGAATTAAAAGGATGCTTTGTGTATTGTTATTATATAGATCTATAACGATATATTACCGTCGTCAGTTGATCAGCCAGGTTCCAGTGTGAAATCTAGATTTAAAATGTACCTGATTAAAAGTTACGGGATGTTTTATTTCCAGTGATCTGTGTTTTTTCGATGGAATTGACTAACCATTATAATAAGGGCCTTGATGTAAAAGACTATGTTACGTTTATGGTTCTCAATTATGACTACCAGTCAGATTTTAATCTCTGCTGATCAATAAAAGTAACTTAAAAACCAATTCTGCTTTTATCTTTTTGAGCCCTAGATTCTCTTTTGGTTGATGAAAATGCCCACCAATGACAATATTTTTTGGAAAAATATGATCTTAAATAAGCAGATTTTCAGTCCAAAATGTTGGTCATTGTATTTTTTTGGTTTTGGTGAAATGTTTTCCAGTGTTGCCTTACTGATCTTTGTCAAAATGGATCAATTTTACCTTCAAATGTGGCTATCTGTTTTTACTTTTGCCAAAATCAAGTGTCAAGATCTTGATTGGAGGATTCATAACTGGTAGTTTCAAGATCAGCACCAGAATCACAAAAGCTGAGTCCGCAGTTATAGTAAGCTAAAATCATTGTGAATAAAACCAAGGAATTGATATAAATATTACTCTAAACTAAAAATGTCATGCCATGGCTGCCAGTCAGAGCTGTTTAATATGGAAAGCCAGTGATGAATTATAACTTATATACTTAGAGTACTTATCACTCAACATCCTAAACTCTACTTCAGGGTTTCCACTAAATCAGGATCACAAAAAAAAGTCATATCATATTTTATGTGTGGTTTATTTATAAAAAAAAAAACCCACAACCAAAACAAAACAATCATTTAAATTTCAAGTATTTCCACAAAGAGGCAGGTAGTGTTTGAAGTTTCTGAAATGCCTTGATGTCTGCTATATTCATACTGGCTAGAATAACTTCACGACATTTCATTTGCAATGTTGGCACTTCACAGAGATTCACAAGAGGCATTTTCACTTCAGTACATTTTGTAAATGATGTAGAACCACAATTGTAGGCCCAAATCTGTAACTTAGAGTCACATGGAGAAACTATAGCACTGAAAAACAATTTTTTAATGGATTTTGCATTGACTATTGAATTGACAATATCCATCTCGATGATGCTGACAGCTTCCAAAGTTTCTGCGTCGTAAAAATCAAACTTGCATTGAATTCTGTAAAGATTTGATACACAAATGCTATATATTATCAAAATATTGCCTTTTCTATTGAAACACATTGAACACTTTAAAATGCTGTAGAATTCTAAAGGAGAATCATCTTCAGAATCTGAACTATTACCAGTACTAATGTATTGCTCGCAGCCTGAACAAGTCCGTGCATTTTTCTTGTGCACCTTCTGTAGGATTGCCTCCCCTGTTTGAGAATTGTGAATAGTAAAGCGACATCGAGCACAATATTCTTCTAAGTCTGCAGTCAGGATATTGCCATCGTGTTGAAATGCTAAAAGATGAAACTTTCTATCTCTGATTTCAAATTTTTCTGTTCCAATAACTTCATTTTCAAGACCAACTGGTTTTTCAGGAAATTTTGTTTTGACTTTCAAAATCATTGTCCATCTCTTCTGAGTTTCTATATCTTGAGGTAGTCTAAGAAGTATAGTTGAATAATCTAAACTGATATGGCAGCGTAATGGTTGAATGGAAGCAAAATCTTTGGTAAAGAAATGCTGAGTGTCATTAAAACATTGAATATAATTTGATAATGTATCAAGGGCAATAAATTGTATGTATTTCACAGATTGTGTTATATATTGTATAATATAAAGGTCACCATGACATCCAATGCATATTGGTTTACCAATAATTCTCTCCAATTTGAAATAGTCTGGTAAGGTGACTGTTTGAGTTTGACACTTCTGCTCTGTGATTTTCATGCTGGAATCCAAGAAAAATTCTTGAACATACAGAAATTGTCTATTTTTGTCAACTGTTATCTCGATAAATCTGTTCTCTGTACATTCTGCAAGAACACCATGGAATACATATTTATTTTGTGGGGCCATTGATGCCATTTCAAGAAGATTTTTGAATTTGACAGCCGTATTGTTGACACTTTGACACCACTTCCGAATTCACCGACCCTCACCTTGTAATGTGAATAGACCTTGACCTTAAAATCAAAACAAACAAGATGGCTGACCAAAAAGGTAAAACACGTGTGTCAAATGAGTATACCTAATCATCCGTATTTTCCCTCTATATTCCAATAAATCAAATTAACTAAGTAATTATCCATAAAACTACAGCTAAGTTTTAAAAAATGCTTAATATTTTAAAGCATTTTTCAATAATTACTAAGTTAAATGGATTTATTGTCATAAAAATAAAATACAGGGATTTTATTGTATCCTCGGCCTTTTGTATATAGATAGATATAACACAAGATAGCCTAAGTCCACTTTCAATATAAGCTTACTCCTACAAGCAAAGTTTGAGACTTCAAATTGTATGTCTGAGTGATAGAATTCCTTTCAATTTATTCTATTTGTGTAGAGTTAGATTGTGATGCAATGGATGATGATAATGAGTATGATGATGTTGAATGGGATGATGATGAAAATGAAGATAATGATGATGATAATGAACTAATTGGTGATGTGAAATGTCTATTTTGTGATGAAGTATTCAAGTCAGCAAGTCTTCTATTTGAGCATTGTAAAGAACAACATAATTTTGATATTAAAGAAATATGTGTTATGTGGAAATTAGATTGTATTTCTTACATTAAAATGATCAACTACATAAGGAAAATGGTAAGACCTCTTCTTGCTTAGTATATTTCAGTATGTCCAGAAAACAAATAACTTATCATAGTGATATTTGAAAACATTTGATTTATAAACTGAGAGAGCTTAATTCCTGCTATATGTAAAACTGAAAATGATAACATTATATTATGATAGTTATTACCAATTTGGTGAATATTAACAATCTGGATACTTGAGTACTATTATTGGTTGTCATCTTGAAGATCTTGGCTTTGGATTGTTCTGAAATTCCATAACCATATTGGATAGTTTTGGATATTGAAGAAAGATTGCGACTTCAGTCATATTCAAATCCCTTCGCTATCAAAAGCAGGACAATCCTTTAATCATACTTGGTCTCTGAAACACTAGTTATAACCTCTACCCATTACATTTGCCATAAGTTAATGTATAGATGGGGTTTCAAGTATCAAATAGTAATAATGCATGTTAAAGGGAAGTATTCGCCATTTTAAGGGGGGGGGGGGGGGTTGATTTGAATGTTGAATATATGTATATAGTCTTCAGAAGTGCTAATAATGTAAGAAAATCGCATAATTCCTTAAAAAATATCTCAAACTAGGAATTTCTTTTCTTATTTCTATAGATGTCTTTTCTATATATGGCAGTGTCTCAAAAAAAGATCACTCTTCTTTTTAACTTTCAAATGCAGATAATTCTGGACACACATGGATTTGAAAGCTCAAATTTCAATGGTGATCTGTGAACACTATTACTGAGTTACTGAGTAGCTTAGGTTAAAAATTCCTGTTTCTGAGACTAAGATATGATTGGTCAAATGGATGTCAAACCTGTTCCTTTAAATATTGTAGATTGAAAAATCAAGTTAAACCTGTCATTCATTTGAACCCAAAAATAGAATTTAAGTCATAAAATTTATGACAAGATAAAATTGCAGCTGTCTATTTTTAGAAACTTTGCCCTAAAGATATCAGCAAAAGAAAAGTAAGAGAGATACCTCCATGGAGTAATGATGAGTATATGAAACCTGCTGATTGTGAAGATTTATTATTACAATATGGTATGTTATCTTTAATTATTAGTCCTATCTAAAACAAATGTGAACTGAAGTCAATTGGTTTGACCTAGTTAAAACATTGATGAACAATAGTTATCTTGTATTTAATGTTTTTACATGTAGATAGTATTAGTACTGATTTTATAATTTTGTTATTTACAAACTGTTTTGTGAAAATTAAGGGATTGTTAAGAGGTTTTCTAATTTTTTATGTGCATCAATTGACATCATTCCAATTCTCAATGAATTATCTGTGGTTCCTGCAATTCCGCTAAAACTAAGTGTTGATAAAAGCATATTTTGAGATTAGTGACGTCATCAATCACTTATTATTTGTGGAATTGCAGATCCCACAGATGTTTGACTGAAAATTTCAATGGTACAAATTGATGCTATCAGTGTCCCCGATACACACACAAATTCTATAAAACCTGTTTGCAATCCCTGCAACTAATTTTAACATTACAACATTCAAGTAAAAACATTAACCTTTACTTTAATTGGACTATTTTGTCATTTGATTCTTTGAAGGTATTGTTCCTCCATTATTTGATATTTGTTGATTTATTAAGTCTATATTATAGTTGAACAAGTGTATATGTACAGAAATTGGGATTTTTCCAAAGATTAACCAGGGTGGTCTATTTTGTTATTGGGGTAGATACAATAGTCATTGAAACTATTCAAGTAAGATTGTGATCTTCTAAAATCACCTAAAAAAAAAAGAGGATTGTATGTAGATTTTGTTTTGTTCAAATTATTGGCTTTGTTTTTTACTTTAGATGGTATTGTTATTTGAATTAATTGTAGTCTGTTGTCTGATATAGAGTAATGTATCTTTAAAACAAATTTATTGAAGAGTGATCAATATTATTGTTTGACTGACAAATAAAGAGTGTCTACAATTTGACAATGAAATATTAGCTCTGTTTCATTACATTATAAAGTTTACACAGGTTAGAATTCAATGAAGTTTTTGCTCATATTTTTAATTTTCGTGTGTAAAATCATTAAGTTTGGATAGTGAGTTAACAAAACAGGCAGTGACTGTTTGCGTAATAGTGATATGCACAAAATAGTGATTGTTTACAAAATTGTAACAGTAATAAATGATCGGTACTTTTTTTTTGCACTATTTATACATAATGATTTAGATATAGAATCATGAAGTGGGTAGTGAGTTAACCAAACTAACAGATAGTGACTATTAACATGATAGTGATCATTTAGGAAATGATGATAGTTTATAATTAAGTGACTTTTAATTTCAGATATAGAATCATTAAGTTTGGGTAGTGAGTAAACCAAACCAACCGGTAGCGACTGTTAACAAAGTAGTGATTGTTTACATCATATTGACAGTGATCAATCATTTTGATTTTTCAGATATAGAATCACTAGATATGGGCAATGAGTTAAGCAAACCAACAGAAAGTGACTGTTTACAGAATAGCGATCGTTTACAAAATGGTAATGGTTTACCCAATAGTGACAGTGGTCATGAGGAGATAACTCTATCTAAAACCGAATATCATCAATTATTACAACAACTACATATGTCAGAATCACGGGCTGAGTCAGCTGAAAGAGAATTAGTCAGAGCAGAAGAAGACTTGAATAAATTAAGGTATACAGAAATTTTGCTTATAGCTTACGAATATGGCGGTCACATCATGTTCTTATTTAGATATTTAAAGTGTTCATAAGAATTCTTACCTGTTAAGAGACTTTGCTTTCTTTACCTATATTGGAAAGTTAACCTCCATTCAAAGAGAATTTAGTATCTGAATCATGTGTCAGAAAACATCAGATGAGCTTTAGTCAACTAATAATACAATATAATATCGTAGGTTAAGAGTCCTCAGCCTCTTGATTTGCTGTTCATTTTATTATATTACCATTCCTTCCTTGTGATACAGTCATTTAATTTTTTAACCTCATAAGCTTAAAAAACCTGAAAGAACCCAGTGCAGCTTTTAGTTGCACTTTCCAGAGACATAATCAAACATCTGTTTAACTTTAACATGCAATTAAATTGAAACATAAAAGCTCTCCAGCAGGATGTTATTATGGACATTGGTGTTGGTTGTTATTGGCTATGAAGTAAAACATTATGGTAACATTATGAGGGAAGGACACGTATTTGACAATTCAAACCATTATGTTCTCAAATTTTAGGACAGTAGCTAAAGAGTTTATGTTATCACAACCAGCTGTACCTTCTGGACCACCAACTATAGAACATCTTAAAGATAATGAAGATGAATCATATTTTGATTCTTATTCTCATTTTGATATCCATCATCAAATGTTACAGGTAGGACAGATCTTCCTTTCCAGCATTTCCCTTTATCTATAAATCAAATTTCAATGATAAAAATAACAATAGCACATGTACTCTATGAGGACTTGCCATTGATGACTATAATATATACATTTTAAGTTTACCTTTGATGTAGACCCCCTTTCTTCTAAGAAATTTCAACTGAAATATCCTATTTGAGAATGTGCTGAAAATTAAATATTGTGCTCCATGTTTAATATATAACAGTCATACTAAGACTATCACTGCTATATTGAAGCTATATTTGTGTAACCATGGGCTATACAGGTGTATATTCAATATATGTTGAATTTAGGAAGGTATAAAGGGACAGGTGTGCCATTTTGAGGGGTTGATTTTAGACTTTAATACATGTTAATAGTCTTCAGAAGTACTAGAAATGTGCGAAAATAATGCAATTCATTTAAAAATACTACAAACTAGGAATTTTACTCATTATTTCTATATATGTCTTTTCTATATATCACAGAGTATCTTAAATTGAGGAGTCGTAATTTTAACATTCAAATGCAGATAATTTGAATTCAAACGCTCAAATTTCGATGGCGAGCTGTGAACACTGAAATTACTGATTAGCTCAGCTAAAATATTCCAGTTTCTGAGACTAAACTATGATTGATCAAAAAATGGTCTACCCGTCCCTTTAAAGCTGATAATGTTAATTGAATAATGAACAAGTTGTTGTATTTCAGGATAAAGTGAGAACAGAGAGTTATAGAGATTTTATGTTAAATAATAAAGAGTATTTTAAAGATAAGATAGTATTAGATGTTGGTTGTGGTACAGGGATACTCTCAATGTTTGCAGTTAAGGCTGGAGCTAGTCATGTCATAGGTGTAGACCAGTCAGAAATTATTTATCAAGCCATGGATATTGTCAGGTAAGCAAAAGACCATACTTATGAACACTTAAGTCTTTCTGAAGGCCAGTGTTGAAAATATTATTTCAAAAAAAAGGATATACATGTTGTTGTCTCAATATTTGCTTTACTTGCTCATTTTAGCTATCTGTAACACTTTTTAAATGAAAAAAAGGCATCTGGTTTGTTCACAATTAATGGAAAGATATGTTCTTTTGTGTCGGACATTGTGTATTACTTAGGTGTGTGAGGTTGGGGGTGTTCAGGTCACCTGAAGATTCAAAGCATCTTATTTGATACATCACAGTCTTCAGAAGCTATACTGTCTCTGATGTCCACTGCCATATCCAAGTTTTAGTAGAAATTTGAACAGGGACAACTGGGATTTCTCAGGTTGACTAAATCCAGAGATTGATCATTTTTTGGCAGATTATGCCACTAGCTAGCAGTTGTTAAAAATCCTGTACTCTGATTCTGCCAGTTGCATGATCAACGTTTTTGACAAGTACCCCCTTCATTTTGTAGGTGAGTAAAGTATAATTTAAGTGATTTATATATCTGATGTGTTTATTATAGAGAGAATGGGTTAGAAAATAAAATAACTTTATTAAAAGGAAGGTTAGAAGATGTTGAATTACCTTATAAACAGGTTTGTGTTATATTTTGCTCTTTGTAGATGTATTTGAGTTGTATATCGCAGATCCATTCAGTTCTTGTGATTGTCTTGATGGTTACATTTTCTTTGGTTCTAAATTTGAGTGCAATTAATTCTTTGGTAAAAGGTTTTAGGCTGATATTTTTATATCTGAATGGGTGGGATATTTGCTATATTTTAGGTTGATATTTTATATCTGAATGGATGGGATATTTGCTATATTTTAGGTTGATATTATTATATCTGAATGGGTGGGATATTTTCTATATTTTAGGTTGATATTATTATATCTGAATGGATGGGATATTTGCTATATTTTAGGTTGATATTATTATATCTGAATGGGTGGGATATTTGCTATATTTTAGGTTGATATTTTATATCTGAATGGATGGGATATTTGCTATATTTTAGGTTGATATTATTATATCTGAATGGATGGGATATTTGCTATATTTTAGGTTGATATTATTATATCTGAATGGATGGGATATTTTCTATATTTTAGGCTGATATTTTATATCTGAATGGATGGGATATTTTCTATATTTTAGGTTGATATTATTATATCCGAATGGATGGAATATTTTCTATATTTTAGGTTGATATTATTATATCTGAATGGGTGGGATATTTGCTATATTTTAGGTTGATATTTTATATCTGAATGGATGGGATATTTGCTATATTTTAGGTTGATATTATTATATCTGAATGGATAGGATATTTTCTATATTTTAGGTTGATATTATTATATCTGAATGGATAGGATGTTTTCTATATTTTAGGTTGATATTATTATATCTGAATGGATAGGATATTTTCTATATTTTAGGTTGATATTTTTATATCTGAATGGGTGGGATATTTGCTATATTTTAGGCTGATATTTTATATCTGAATGGATGGGATATTTGCTATATTTTAGGTTGATATTATTATATCAGAATGGATAGGATGTTTTCTATATTTTAGGTTGATATTATTATATCTGAATGGATAGGATATTTTCTATATTTTAGGTTGATATTATATCTGAATGGATGGGATATTTTCTATATTTTAGGTTGATATTATTATATCTGAATGGGTGGGATATTGCTATATGTTAGGTTGATATTTTTATATCTGAATGGATGGGATATTTTCTATATTTTAGGTTGATATTATTATATCTGAATGGATAGGATGTTTTCTATATTTTAGGTTGATATTATTATATCTGAATGGATAGGATATTTTCTATATTTTAGGTTGATATTATATCTGAATGGATGGGATATTTTCTATATTTTAGGTTGATATTATTATATCTGAATGGGTGGGATATTTGCTATATGTTAGGTTGATATTTTTATATCTGAATGGATGGGATATTTTCTATATTTTAGGTTGATATTATTTTATCTGAATGGATGGGATATTTTCTATATTTTAGGTTGATATTATTATATCTGAATGGATGGGATATTTGCTATATTTTAGGTTGATATTATATCTGAATGAATGGGATATTTTCTATATTTTAGGTTGATATTATTATATCTGAATGGATGGGATATTTTTCTATATTTTAGGTTGATATTATTATATCTGAATGGATGGGATATTTGCTATATTTTAGGTTGATATTATTATATCTGAATGGATGGGATATTTTCTATATTTTAGGTTGATATTATTATATCTGAATGGTGGGATATTTTCTATATTTTAGGTTGATATTTTTATATCTGAATGGATGGGATATTTTCTATATTTTAGGTTGATATTATTATATCTGAATGGATGGGGTATTTTCTACTATTTGAGTCAATGTTAGATACTGTTCTAGTAGCTAGAGATAGATATTTAAAACCAGGAGGAATGGGTAGGTTTTCATTAATTTTGACCATTTTGTAAAACTAATGGCATTTGGATTGTCAGCCAACACATCTCAGCCCTTTGTTGATTTGTTTATGAGTGTGAATTTATGTTGATTTGTTGGTGAGTGAAAATTCAACATTTCACCCCATTGAAACACCTTGCAAATCATGTAATGTCATGTAAATGAATGGGTTCAAAGGTCATCTATTAAATGTTTTATAGTTCAGCATTGTGAAGATCCTTTCTTATTAAGATTCTTTCTTATTTGGCTGTACTTGAATTGGTTGGTTGATCTAATTTACATATCGTTTTAATAGTAGGCAATATCATATCATATCAAAAATTGAAAACTAACAGAATTATGTACCTGTACCCTGTACATTCCCATTAGCATTATGTTATGTGTTTAGAGTCTTTAACTTCATCTTTTGCAGTATTCCCTGATATATGTACTATATCTGTAACAGCTATCAGTGATTTTAAACTCTATAATAAAGATGTCTTATTTTGGGATGATGTGTATGGTTTTAAAATGACCTGTTTAAAAAGTGAAGTGATAAAAGAAGCCTGTGTAGATATTATAAAAAATGATACTGTTGTAACAGATCCTTGCGTTTTAAAGGTTTGTTATTTGATATCTTTTGGATTTTGAAAAAAATGGCAAAAAGCCTCAGCTGTTCAATCATTTAAAAGGGTGTTTGATACATAAGTGGCATTTCCCTAGTATTGCCCTAATGAAAAATTATTGCCCTATGGGAATACATAATTCTATAGAAGTCTCCAAGAGAAGAGTCTCATTTGTAGATGCTCTGTGTTGCCATTGAAGTACTAGAAATGTACGAAAGTCGTATAATTCCTTCAAATATATCTCAAATAGGAATTTCTTTTGGTAGATGTCTTTTCTATATGTGACTCTGTCTCATAAAAAGACAAATTGTCTTTTTAACTTTCAAATGCAAATAATTCTGGACACTCATGGATTTGAAGGTTCAAATTTCGAAGGTGAACTGTGAATGCTATTATGGATTGGCTTAATTAAAGAAAAAAACTATTTCTGAGACTAAAGTATGATTGGTCAAAAAATAAGGTGCTCATGAATTGAGAAGATTCTGCTTTGAATTATGTTCATTCAAAATACTTATCCAATAGCTTCAAATATTATGCCAACCAATCAAAAACACCATGAATATTCCAGAAATTTTTACATGTAGTAGGTTGATTGCTGTATTGACCAAGTATTTATGTGTTTTAACATGGCAAATAAAGACACTCTGTAGAAAATGAAATAAAACAGAACCGCAAGTTTTAGAATGATCATTATGTTTTTAGACTATAGATGTCAGTGATTGTCAGCTATCAGATCTTCAGTTTAAATCAGAATTTAATTTAACAATGACAAGAGATGGTGAAATTACAGCTTTTATTGGTTATTTCAATATTTACTTCCAAAAACATTTATCTCAACCAGTAAGTCCTTTATATTCATCAAATTCATATGCAGGGTGATTCTGTGGAGGCTGCTTCCCTATTCCCATATTATTTGTATTTTGATCACTAGTTTGTAAAATTGAATAAATAAAAATATAAACAGAGAGTAAACAATTTTCAGTCAGACATCAGTGGTTCTTGGTAAATTCCAGTAAAACTAGGCGTTAACGACGTAGCTATTGCAACTGGACTTACATAAACAGGAATAGATGGATGAATTGACCAATCCTTCTAATCATAGATTTATGATTTATATTAAAATGATATTATCGTTAAATATTCTCAGGTGGAATTTTCAACAGGACCAGAAGCAACACCTACCCATTGGAAACAGACAGTATTTTTATTACCTAAACCATTATCATTAAAGAAAGGTAACTCATCTTGCCTATAACTATTTTGGAACTCTTGTGCAATGAGAAACATTTTCTTGTGTTATTTGTCATGACACATTGTGTTTTACAGTGACATCTTGTGTTATATCATGCCAGAATGTGTTAAATCATGACAGAATGAGTTATATCATGACAGAATTTGTTATATCATGACAGAATGTTTTATATCATGACAGCTTATGTTTTACCATGACATATTGTGTTTTACTATGACATCTTGTTTTTATCATGACATCTTGTGTTTTATCATGACAGAATGTGTTATATCATGATAGAATGTGTTATATCATGACAGCTTGTATTATACCATGACTTAACCATAAATAACAACCAATTTTTAAAATCTGGTATATCACTCAAATTCTGGGCATCTGTGGTTTAGTCTTATACTTCAAATATATCATGGATGCAATCATGCAAATGGAATTTGCAAATCAAAAGCGTATATTGCACCTTTGCTAACTGTTATATTTGCTTCTGAAAAAATAAGATTTTTAAAATTTGCTTTCTTTGTTTCAGGAGAGGAGATCAAAGGAGTTTTATCTTGTAAAAAGAATAGAAAAGATCCCCGAAGTCTAGTAATATCTTTAACATATAATGATAAAAGACATATTTATATAATGGAATAATATACATTGAATTATAACACTTAGTGTTATTTATTTTGTTTATTGCACTATTGCAATGCCAAGCTATAACGAAATTTGTAATTATACCTTGACTACATACAATAGTCACATTTCTTGTAAATTTGAAAATAAAGTGATTCGATTTGATTGGATTGTACTGTATTGTAGTGAAATAAATCCAATCAGAGGCATTGACAAAAAGTCTCTGAACACAAGGCCATAATGTTTACAGCCTTTCTGAAGAGGGCTCTGATTGGCTGTATTCGTTGGTATACTTAAATCTCTGCTTTCTGTGATAGAATGTAGCTATTTTAGTCACGGTATTTAAGTACGAAGTTCGTAATAGCTTGGCAAAGCTATTTTTATGGGAGTTTTCCAGACCATAACACAATTCTGTCAAAGTATTTGTGAGAAAATTATTTCACATTTGCTCTACAGATCTTTTTAATAGGAAACAGAGATGAAAACCAAAATCTATGCCAAGCCTTTCATTCTAAATGCTAAAATTCCCCTTGAAGCACTATCACTAATACTATAAAGCATGAATGCCCACAAGACAATATGGTCTAGTATTTTGTGGAATTGCAGGAACCACAGACATTGATTTGCTTGATCATTCCAAAACAAAGATTTTTTGTTCATTTCTTACTTCTGCACATTACAAATTGAAACATTATACTGTATATCGATATCAGCTATCTGTAGGTATATGGACAGGCCATTGATGGTTGTAACTTATGTCCAAAACAATAATCTGCTTAACAGTTAAATTTGACAGGACTTATAGTAAATTGATGGTACACTAGACATTCCATTTCAATTCTCTTAAGTGATAGCTGCCAAAATAATTACTTCAACAACTATATCGCTTTAAAAATGTAAAATGATTGAGAGAAAATTTCACCCTCCACAATTCTTATTCTATACCACAGTTTATTTAAATAAATAGAAGTGAAGAGTATTAATAAATTATGATCTGTGGAAGCTAATCTATTACTTCTTAACTGTATTCTGTCCCATAGTAGCTCTAAGTGCTATAGTCACATCTACCCAGGTATTAGGATTCTCCATGATATTCTCCCATGTCAGTATTTCTTCACCTCTAGCATCCATCCAATCAACTTCTTTACCTTCACATCGACCTGAAAATAGATGAGCATGCTGTTAAGCATGTGAACATCTTCTGGGTATATCGAGTTAGTAACTTGAAGATTCTTGTGATCAGACTGTCCAAGCTCATCAAGAAGTATCACCCGCGACTTGACGTGTAGTTTTATTTGCTAATTGGATGGATATACATTGCTTTGCCAAATAGGTTAAAAATTAATTTCATGCTATTATGAAAATTTAATTGGCTGAAAAGCCCATTGTATATCTGCGTGGTTTTAATGAATATTGCACTGTGAGAAGGTCTAACATATTATGAATCGGAAATCTGGACACAGATGTTGCTCTCGTTTTTATATGGACCATGTGCAGAATACAATATACTGTGTTGACGTGTTTGGAATACTAGAATGATAGGACTAACCTGTTCCCAGATTAAATCTGTTACCACCTAAGAAGTCATTACTCGATAGTGATTCATGGTCCCATACGGTCAGCTCTAGACTTTTGTCTGGTAGTTCATCTAATCCTACGTCTTCAAATAAAAATACCTGATTCCATGCTGGAGAACAATCCTTCTTTATCACATTTGTCTTCTGTTTGCTCACCTTAGCTGTGTCCGGTAACAAATATCTACAATGACAGAAAAAAAATGAAATTTTTGCATCTGATGAATCTTTTATGCATCCTTGATGAAGATGGTTATCGGATGGAAATTAAATGGAATTACATTTGACGTCTTACTGAAGAACACCGAGTACGTAGAGCATCTGTTGTTATTTTCCTGACAAAAGCGTTTAATGGGATAATAATATCATGTGCAATTCTAGCAGATCTTATAGACACCATTAATTATGGTCAGTATCAATTCAGCGATACTCACCCTTTACAGAAAGGATTAGATGAACCATTAGAATGTAAAGCAGTTAAATTACGGGCTTCTTTTACCATTACACGTAGTTCTCCTTTACTAGGTCCCGACTTCTTTTTCTTCTTCTTCACCACAGCATTTTTTGATAGAGAATCTGGTGTTACATATGATAGTGACAGTACTAAATCACCTTTATATGGCGGACCTTCATCTTCGGCTGCTTCTTCCAACAACTAAAATATCAGTATATAATAATAATAATAATAATAAAGTTTATTCAAGTACTATACGACTTTCGTCATGGTACAAACGTTAACAAAAATAGATTTGAATTTTCTAATAAAGAAAATGCATATAATAAAATAAATTTCAAATATAGAATATACAAAAAATAATTTAAATATCAAATATAGTATATTAAACAAATACAGATAATAATTTTAATTTCAAATATATTATATACAAAATAAATCTAGATTTCACATATTAATTAATTATACAAAATAATAGTTCAAACTTTTAATTAAGGCAGGTATATACAATAAGTCGATTGGATAAAATTCATGAGAGTATTTCTTGTCTAATATCTAATCCTTTTTTATGTACAAAGCTAAGTTTTTTTGGACATCTATAGATTTGCTTGTAAATAGAGATTTAAGTTTGAAATCGTTTGGGTTTGAGTGACAATATTTTGGCAGGAAGTTAACTGTCAGTATATGTTTTTTTTTTAATTTTGGATATAATATTCTAGCCAATACAACTGATTTAGCAATGTTATTTAATTCCGATTTCAAAGTATGCGAACAGTAAGTGTTATTTAAAAAAAAAGATACGGAACTCCAAAATATAAAAAAAAAATTGTCGGAGAGTCGATCAGTTGTACCGGAAATTTTAAAATGGTAGTCGTCCAGTAGTTTATATTTAAAAAATAAAGAATTTGACGCAACCCAAACGACAGATTCCTAAGGTCAACATTCTGATTTATTATTCTACGCTGATATTAGAATTAATAGAAACAACTTACTCTTTCCTGTAATGGATACCATCTCGGACTATTATCAGTAAATTTATAATTCTCGAACTGAACGAGAACCTCCCCAAGAAAATCATTTCTTCCAAATTTATCATTATGCCATACCGTTAACCACAATGAACGACTGTATAGTTCACTTTCTGATATATTATACTAGAAATAAAACAATACCAAATCGTTAATGTAATGAAAATGCCTTACCCAAGTGAGTTTTGTCTTTAAAATGGTGATCTCAAACGTATTTATTGGATATCAATGTTTTACTTTCAGAGGAGTACAGAGTTTTTCTCGGGCAGTTTTTTTTCATATTGTCTATTTCATGCAATGGATTGCAAAGAAGCCTGTGTGAATTTGTTAGAAATTTTTGCACAATCTGTGAAACCATGACTCAAGTGTACAACTGGTCAGACCGCTGGAAGATCCATAGCATTCGTGATGTTAAACCACCTGACTCAAAGAAAACATGTCAGCTTTTTAAGCTCTTTGAAATTAATGACGAGCCTTCAAACCTAGTGGAAGATTGTTCTTATTACTTACTTTCAATACTTCATTAAATACAGGACTCAGAGTATGTTTCTTTATCTTTGTTTTTCTCTTACCATTTCTGGACTTATCTGGTAGTAAATATGCTTTAACATATCTACAAAAATACAGAGTGGATTGGTGTATGATGCAAAAATTGCATCGGAACATGCTCATTCCGGATAATCACTAACTAAATCGGCTGGTGCACTGCGCTTGGCAGAAAATGCTTCTCATTGCCGGGAAAAACTTATAAGAATCCAAAATGGTCATTAAACTCATCATCATTACTTTTGACCCATGTATATGTATAAGTATCCTGCCTTCTTGTAATGACAAAATTCCTCTACTTACGGGTCTGAGCGTTTATTTTTGGTATCAACTGCTGCTATATTTTTACATTCCTGTATATCTATTCTTAATTCACCAGATTCGCGGTTAAAATCTAAACCAAATAACATTTCACCAGTAACAGGTATTTTACCATAGTTCACTTCCCCAGCATCACTATATACACTTAACATACTCTCTCTAGAACCCTACAATATATAGATACAATAGTTCACTTCCCCAGCATCACCATATACACTTAACATACTCTTTCTAGAATCCTACAATATATAGATACAATAGTTCACTTCTCTAGCATTACTATATACACTTAACATACTCTCTCTAGAACCCTACATAGATACAATAGTTCACTTCTCCAGCATTACCATATACACTTAACATACTCTTTCTAGAATCCTACAATATATAGATACAATAGTTCACTTCTCTAGCATTACTATATACACTTAACATACTCTCTCTAGAACCCTACATAGATACAATAGTTCACTTCTCCAGCATTACTATATACACTTAACATACTCTCTCTAGAACCCTACATAGATACAATAGTTCACTTCTCAAGCATTACTATATACACTTAACATACTCTCTCTAGAACCCTACATAGATACAATAGTTCTCTTCTCCAGCATTACTATATACACTTAACCTTAACATACTCTCTCTAGAACCCTACATAGATACAATAGTTCACTTCTCCAGCATTACTATATACTCTTAACATACTCTCACTAGAACCCTACAATATATAGATACAATAGTTCACTTCTCCAGCATTACTATATACACTTAACCTTAACATACTCTCTCTAGAACCCTACAATATATAGATACAATAGTTCACTCCTCCAGCATTACTATATACACATAACATACTCTCTCTAGAACCCTACAATATATAGATACAATAGTTCACTCCTCCAGCATTACTATATACACATAACATACTCTCTCTAGAACCCTACATAGATACAATAGTTCACTTCTATAGCATTACTATATACACTTAACATACTCTCACTAGAACCCTACAATATATAGATACAATAGTTCACTCCTCCAGCATTACTATATACACATAACATACTCTCTCTAGAACCCTACATAGATACAATAGTTCACTTCTCCAGCATTACTATATACACTTAACATACTCTCTCTAGAACCCTACAATATATAGATACAATAGTTCACTTCTCCAGCATTACTATATACACTTAACATACTCTCTCTAGAACCCTACAATATATAGATACAATAGTTCACTTCTCTAGCATTACTATATACACTTAACATACTCTCTCTAGAACCCTACATAGATACAATAGTTCACTTCTCTAGCATTACTATATACACATAACATACTCTCTCTAGAACCCTACATAGATACAATAGTTCACTTCTCTAGCATTACTATATACACTTAACATACTCTCTCTAGAGCTCTGTCTCTAGAACACTATAATATACATCATGTTGATGAAATAGTTGTACAATCGCTCATCGCTCACAAATGAATGTGAAGGAGAGGAGACAGTTTTGATATGGTTTTATGGAACTTGGTAATGATAAATTGTATAACTATTTATTGATGATTGGTAAAGGTAAAATTTGTTTCTGGCCGCGATAGACTATGCATTTACCTTTTGAGATCTGAAATACGTTTAGTTTTAGGTAATATTTAAATCAACTACCTTTGACCCGAACGAAGTGCGTCGAAAGTGATGACTAAAAATGATGGTCTTGGTTTAATTGCGATGCAACATAAAATGCTAATCGTAGATGAATCAACATGTGGAGATTTTTTGATAACCTTTTCCCTGACTTCGTCAAAATACCATCATGGTTTTTATGACTTTTGTGTGGTAAACACCTCCGTATATTTATGTTAGATAACTTGCCAAACATAGCTATAAGGGCAGTGGCGGCTCCACTAGGGGTACTGAAAAATAGTTTGCCACTCTACCTAACTGTACCCCCACTTAAAAAATCTAAAATATGATATACGTTTTAGCCCAAAAATATGTTTTAGAAAGCACCAAGTCAATTCTATTTTCAGAAGAATTATAAGTTTATGCAAAAAATGCGCCTCGTCACTTCCTTGAATAACAACCTCGGCTGTTGTCCTCCATTGAAGCAGTCTGCCTTTATCGACTAGCTGACCTTTCAACTCCACATCTGAACAATTTGATTTGAGTCTTGGAGTATAGATTAATGTATAACAATTAGTTTCAGTATTGTCACAAGAATGTTCCATTATACCGCCAAATAAAGGAGTAATTAAGGATTTCCGAAGTTAATGCAATTCATAAGATGTTTGTGGGATGTTTCGGAGTTTCGGAATTATACATTCATATAAAACATTATGTACATTTCTTTGCCGCGAAACTATTATTAAACCAACGACAATACCATGCACCATATGGTACTAATTTAACGTATTTTAATATTGTATGGATTCTTATCAGAATATGTTTTGACACTAAACAGCAAGAAAACATAATGCTTATTGATTGCGTAGAAAATGGAATTGTATTTTCTTACGCCCACATAATTTATTTTTTCGTGGTTAAAATACGCAAATGTGCTCTGTAAAATAGGAGGCAAAAGTAACACGGCCATAACCTAGTTATCGTCTGAGCAAATTAAAAAGTTTTTGAACTTTTTCGATATTTTTAAGAGAGAATTGGAATATCAGCCTCAAAATAGAATTGCTTCGCGTTGATAAAAATATATTTTTTGTTCACATTGAAAAGAAACACATTTCTCTCTTGAAATTTCAACCCCCAAAAATCACAAATTTGGCTGAAAATTGTCCTCTAAAAACAACTTGAAGATGTTATTTATGTGTGCTCATGCTCTTATACTTATTAACGCAAAGACAATTCTAATACTAACAGTACTATTTGAAACTGCTATTCCAATTCTCATAAAATAATGGGAAAAATTCAAAAACCATTTTACTTTGCTCAGACAATGAGTTTGAAGTAGCCAAGGATTCCTGAAATTGAGAAAGACATCGTGCAAAATCATTAATTTTGAGAAATTACTACATCTGAAGTGAGTAGAAATAAATGCCTGTGTCTGGCGTTTGTGAATATAAGCGACATCTTTCAAACTTACCCCAAGTAATGATGACAAAGGACCCTTTTTACGGCGGGAACGATTTCCATCTAAATTATCCAAACTATCACAGCTTTCTCCCATCTAAAATAACAATACCATTATCAAAATGCTAAAAAAATGGGTTTTAGAATTAAGAATTCGAATTGCAAGGTTGTCTTCTTTCTAGTAGAAACCTCAACATTTACACAACTGCCATAAGAGTGACTCTCCTCAATTCAAAGGTTCAGTGTCGAGATTGAAAATAATTCAGCAAAATGTGAAATAATTCAAAAATGAAATTATACTTACATCATCGTCTTTATCTACAAATTGAAATATAAAAATGAATTAAAAATTAAGATCTATTCAATTTTTCATCATTAAAATCGTAACATTACAAATCCCCATAATATAGGCTGGGAAACACAATCGTAGAGTGGCATCAAGTGCTCTGGAATGGTCAGACCCGACTAACAGCTGTATTGAAAGCTATAACTAAAGAGGTTGAATTAGGTCCTTGAATACGATATACCGACCGGTAAGCTTCTTCCCATAGCAATGGCTTAGACTACGGAAGTGTTGGTTTGAGTTTGAGTACACATGTAATCGCATCCTTACAATCCGATCAGCTTAATCGTGTACGCAAGCATGTTGTCTCTTGATTGTTGATTTTTTGTGACCCAATTATGATTGTTCTTATGCTTGCACAAAACATTGATTGAGCGATACGTACTAAATCCGGATTATTGGATCAAAGCAGGGATCATTTAATTAAATACGTACCATCAAAATCCGAATCTGAATATCGTCCTTCAGCCAAGTCTAATAATCTAATTTTAGTATTAGGGGAGGCAGTTTTCATTGAAATTACACTTCGTGTATCACTTTGTGGTTTTATATGAAGTTCAGATTGTTTTGGGGCTGGGTAGGGTTCTATAGAGGGGTTCACAGTTATTTCGGGTACAACAACAGATTCAGGATTTGGTTCAGAAGATGTTATAGAATCACAAACAGTTCTTTCTATTGGTTTATTTTGATCGACACCATCTACAGACGATTCCGATTCGGCTCGTTTCTTGCAGGACACTCTGGTAACATCATTATCAACTCCATTACTGGTTGGTCCTTCAATTCCTGAAATAATGACAGTAGATCTAGCTGAACAACCAACATTGATACTCCAGATGAGATAAAATCCAAGTTTTGCTCTTCTGTCCAATATAGTATTGAAAATGTAATGTAAATAGTCTTCAGAAGTACTAGAAATGTACGAAAATTTCAAAATTTCTTCAAAAATATCTCAACTTAGAAATTTTACTAATTTTTCTAAGTACATTTCTTTTCTATATATCACAGAGTATCTTAAAATGACGAACCGTCACTTTAACATTCCAACGCGGATAATTCTGGCCACACATGGACTTGAAGTGTCAAATTTCGACGGTGAGCTGTGAACACCATTACTGATTGACCCGTTTCTGGGACTAAAAATTGATCGAAAAGAATGGCGCAATCAGAGAAGAAAGTTAGTATTGTTGTTAAAAGTCCACTCGGATTTGGAGTTGTGTATACTGACAACAGTAACCAATATAAAATGCTGCTATTGATCGTTTGTGTAGTATGCATACAAAACTACGTATGGTTCCAATATACATTTCCATGTAAGAATATTTATGTAGTATATACTAACCTTGCTTTGAAGTACCATTACTACCATATTTGAGAGGTTCGTCATCCTCGTGACTTACTTCTCCTGTAAAAAAAAATTAATAGACAATAACAATGGAATGCTGTCGTTATTCTGTTTTACATTAACGGTTTTTGAAAAGCTGAAAATGCTTGGAATAATATTAAAGATGATATCAGTCATTTTTTGTAAGGTTTTGTTTTTGGATGATCTTATCATGTATTTATAAATATTTACATATTGAGCCGCTGTTCGTTTGACTCATAAAAGAACATTGTACGACCGCAAGATGATTTCAATTTGGTAAACACTTAGTTTTATTGGAGTTGCAGGAACCACATTATTACGTATGATTAAAAATTGGAATGGTGCTAATTGATG